AAGTAAAGTCTTCGTTATTAAGTATTATTATACTTATTTTTAGTTTTTCGAGCCGGAAATGATCATTGCACTTATGATATCTAAGAAAAAATGAAAAACACTGTACGCAAATCTGTAAAATGTGTAATTTATTATTTATTTATAACTTTAAATTAAATCGGTCAAATATCACTGTTATCTTAATTACTGCTAATATAACTTGACAAATTTATAGGCTGTGTAAACGTGCTTGAAGCGTGTACTAATATTTTAATGCAATATGGGTAGGTAGGTATATCTACGGCAAAATACATATTTTAACGATTTCTCCGTCAACGTGAAAAAGGATTATTTAATTATTTTATAATAGATTAGAAGATACAATTCTCATCAAGATTAAGGCATCAATAAACTGAACCTCAATATGAATGTTGATTTTCTTGCCTTGCTCTATCCACAATCATTATTTTAAAGATACATAATGTCCAAACATGAAACCAATACGTTTTTTTTTAATTACAAAAAAAGTAACTACCAATTTGTTTTGCAGAATAGCTTAATTCCTGGAATGAATTTACAAATTTCATCTTTAATTTTTTACTATTTTTTTTCTATATAGTATACACAGTTTCTATTTTTGTTATTTTGTGACATGTCATTTCCATTAAAGTTTTGCCATACATTTTATATACCCTGTATGAATTTATATCGGATATAATTTTAAAATTAATGTAGATACCTACGTCAATCTGTCTTCAAATAATATTTATTTATCGTTCTAGTAATCGGTTGTAATATATTGTCAATATTCATGACAAATTAATTTTTGTATTGATCTACACTATACTATATGTAGTGTTAGGGTATTATTTCGACTGGGGCCGTTGTTTATAAAACAACGATAAGAAGTGAAGAATGACCACAGACGACTGACGAGGTGTTGTGTTGAGATAATTTGGTCATTGTTGTATTGTTTTATTATAAAATAAAGTTATTTTGTGAAAAGCTGTACAGTAGGTATACATAATCAGATCTCAAGTAAATTGTTGTAGCAATAATAAATAAAATATAAAATTGTAGGGTGTTAAAAATTGGGTCGACATATTTTGTGGAAAATATTTCTAACATAATCCAAAATTTTGGTATATTTCAATAAATACAATATACAGGGTGATTCAGAACTTATCCAAAAAAAATTGGATGCACAGCGCACTCTTACCAATACAATTTTGTAAAGAAAAAATCAAAAAGGGCAGTTAAAAAATGATTTAAAAATACACTTCTGCACGGCACTGGAAACTGGTCCACTGTAAAACCTGACCTGGCACAATGCGACCAGCGTGGCGGCAAAGTGTGATAAAAACGGACAAAAACTTGAAAGAATTTCGCAAGGAAAGAAAAAAACATAATTTTATAGCACCTATTTCATATCACCTAATTCAACTGCTTTGCCGCTATTGTTACTATTAATTAATAAAATAAATTTGTGGTTTTAAATAATAAAATAATTTGACATACCTGATGTTACAACAGCTGTTCAAAATTTTGTGCACCGACATGTAAACACATTTGGGTCCGTCTTACTCAGGTTCCATCTTGCTTCACCATAACACAAATGCTTCACCATAATACGAATGTTGTCTTGTTTCACCATAAATTAAAACGATATGCATCAACTCCGAGTTGCTATACACGCAAGCCATTTTTGATACTAACTACTACTATTGTAAACAATATCGCAACGACGATTGTAAAATCGGATTTCAGTATTCGGAGTCGTTGAGGCCACGTGGTTCTCCACGCGTATTGCGAATGATGCTAGAGACTACAGTTGTCCAGCTATGTAATGGTTGAAACTACTACAACTTCAATACTTTTTTTATCGGAAACTATAAAGATTTTACAAATTTTTTTTTACGATATACAGTCTGTTTCACTTAAAGTCGGGACACCTCCGTATTTAGGATGGCGTTGGCCGATTTCCAAAATTCTTTTTTTTATGTGGTAGTACTCAATAAGGCCTACTTTTGGATATTATATTTTTTGACATGTGATCTTTTCTACGGCCTACTATCATTAAGAAAGGACCCTCAAAAATTAAAAAACATAGGCATTTTTTTAAGAAAGAAATGGATAGCATTTTCGATTTGATCACACCTCAAAACCCTAAATACAAAATTTCATTATTATAGCTGTTGGACCGTTAGGTCGTATGTTCGAATAATGTACTGATTGATGAATATGAGATGTTGAACTTAAGATGCGTTGAAAATGAATCGATGTTGATGCTTGAAAATATGTTTAATGACTGAAATCTGCTTACAGACTACTTACAAGAAATATAAATGTTCTCCTACAATTTCCCTACCTACTAAACCGGGGAGGGTTTTACCCATCCCTTGATCAGGTACCCAGTTCTTAGAGTAACAAATAAACTTTATTGTACGTAAAACCGTACAATAGCTTTTACAGGGTGTTTACAAAATAGGTGCAAACTTCGAAAAATTCCACGTATTGCAGTGTCCTGTATTAACAGTAGAAAATATTTTCAAGATATTTTTTCATAATTTTATTAATCGAAGGTATATCCATGCAATTTCATTGATTTCACTCATACAGGGTGCTCACAGTAGGACCAACAAATTATATATTTTTTATATTATACCAGACATGAGTTTCACAAAGAAATAATATTTGAATATTACTGTTTTTCTATTAGTCCACATCATTTGGTATGCACTGTTCAGTCCGTCTCATTTTATTTCTAATCATTCTCCTCAACTGATGTGGTGTTATTTGTCGACATGTTTGTCTATTACATAAATCTTCTCTGTTCTGGGGCCTTGTTTTGTACATTATCTTTTTCACAGTTGTCCATAAAAAGAAATCAAGAGGCGTCTAGTCTGGAGCTCTCGACGGCCACTCAGCTAACGGACTGTTGCGAGCTATTCACTTTCTCGGGAAACACTCATTCAACCAATGACGTACCATTACCGCATTATGAATAGGTACTCCGCTTCTGTCTTACATGAAGAGGAAATGCATGTACTGAATCCCAGAAATCATTATTTAAAAAATTCATAAAAATCTCTGCGTTTAGATTAAAGCAAAAAAAGAAGGGCCCGATTATTCGATCACATAAAATCCTACAAAACACGTTAATTTTTTGAATTAAGATGTATCTAATATAATTAGACAAGCATGTTGACAAATAACACCACATCAGTTGAGGAGAGTTATTAAAAATAAGAGGAGACGAATTGAAGAGTGCTTGGTGGACTAATAGAAAATAGTAATACATATATTTAAATATTATTTCGTTGTGAAACTCATTTCTGGTATAATAAAAAGTATATATAATTTGGCTGTTCTATTGTGAGCACCCTGCATGAGTGAAATTAATGAAACTGCATGGATATACCTTCGGTTAATAAAATTATGAAAAAATATCTTTCACTGTTAATACAGGACACTGCAATAAGTGAAATTTTTCGAAGTTTGCACCTATTTTGTGAACACCCTGTAAAAGCTATAATAATGAAACTTTATATTTAGGGTTTTGAGGTGTGATCAAATCGAAAATGCTATCCATTTATTTCTTTAAAAAATGCCTAATATGTTTTTTAATTTTTTAGGGTCTTCTTAATAATAATAGGCCATAGAAAAGATCACGTCAAAAAATATAATACCAAAAAGTAGGCCTTTTTGAGTACTACCACATAAAAAATAAGAATTATGGAAGTCGGCAAACGCCATCCTAAATACGGAGGTGTCCCGACTTTAAGTGAAACACACAGTATACTCCATTTCCAAATTTTTTTGGATAAGTTGTGAATCACCCGGTATATATAAATTTATATGTCTGTATTAATATTAATAAATACTTCTTACAGCTTGACACTTAAATTTTAAAACTGATTTTACCTTCTACGTTTTACTAATTAGCTATTCGTTGGAAAATTTTATTCATTTAAGTGAGTCATTTTTACAAGTAATCACTTGCCTTCAATTGTTTGTTACATCCGAAATTGTTGAATTATGTCTTCGAAAGGGGAGATCATATGATGTTTGCATTGCCTAAATTGTCTTGATAGGGCAAGCAAATGATAATAGTTCACTAAAAGTTATGGTTGACAATACATGAGATACATTACATTGATTTAATTTTGTGATTTGTTATATGTAATATGATTGCTAGACACTTTCAAAAGTTATAGAAAAATGTCAGTATTATATCCTGAAGTTAGGTAAGAAATGTATAGTTTTATTTTTTTGTATATTGATCACTTAACAAAAAGAATATAAATATATTTTGTGCAGATCATTATAAATTGATTTTTTCAATCAACTAAATCAAGTAGGTATGTTTATACACATCACACAAATTTTTAAATACGGACCTAATGTTGTCTTCTATTTCGTAATTTGATTCTTAATGAAGATATCTACAAAAATTGTTTCATTCCTTTCCGTGATATCACTTAGATAAAATATTGTTTATTAATTCATATTAAGGACTGATTTCGAAACAATCCTATTATTCAATCAAAAATATTTAAATTTGAAAAATAGGTACAATTTTATTTTTTCTTTTCTAAAGCTCAGCACCATAAAATCTTTTAATTTCTTTGTAGAATCAAGTTTGGTCAAATTTTGTGGAACAAAAGTTACAGTAATTTGCTTTTATCCTATTTTTAAAATATATGTGTTTATGTATGTATTTACATACTCTTAATTTTTTGAAATGAATAAAATTTATTATAATAAATTGTTAAATAAATTCTCCGAGGTAATTATTTATTGTCTAAAAGCATTTTGAGTGATCATTGTAGTGTAGGGAACATACTATTTATTTTTAATTCACAGTATAGCAAATTACTAACAAAAAGAAAAACTGACTTATTTATAACAAATTTTAAATTGTAGACTAAATATTTGGGTATATATGTATAAATATACAATATATATGTAACTAAAAACAAACATAACTGTAAATATACTTAAGTATATATTTTTTTCAGAATATTTGTTAACAGAAGCCTCCACTTGGAAAATATTAAATTCTATGGATTTGATATGGATTATACACTGGCAGGTATGAAAAAAATTAAATAATGTTGAAATCTCTTTACCAATTCTCATTATTTATAGAATACAAATCGCCACAATATGAAAAGTTTGGTTTTGATTTAATCAAACAACATATGGTCTCCATTGGGTATCCACAGGAAATTTTAGAATTCGAATATGATCCCACATTTCCAGTTAGGTAAATAAATTAAATTTTCTTATAATTTTAACATACCATTAAAATAGTGATTAAATTTTCATTTTACTTAGGTACTTTTGCATATCATTATAAAGATTCTGTAAAACTAATGGGTTTAGTGAAATTCAAGCATTATTTTCTATCGAAACTATTATGCCAACAATTAAATTCATAATATTCATATATTCATAATATTTCATTCATATTAATAATAATATTCTTGACTGAAAATTCTCAAAATCAAATCAAAGTCAATAGATAATAACTGATTGAATTTATTCACATTTAACATTTACTTAGTGCCATACAAGTGATTTGTTTTCTGTATGTATTAGATTGTAATAACTAAGTCTTGCAATATATATCTATTTTTAGAGGATTATGGTTTGATTCTCTATATGGAAATTTGCTAAAAGTGGATGCATATGGAAATATTTTAGTATGTGTTCATGGTTTTGAATTTTTAAAACAGTAAGTATTTTATTTTGCAATATAACCTGCAGCTAATATCTTTCATTTGTAGTTCAAGGGTGTACGAATTATACACAAACAAATTTCTAAAACTTGACGAATCAAGAGTTTATGTATTAAACACTTTATTTAATCTTCCCGAGACATACTTGCTAGCTTGCTTGGTAGATTTCTTCACAAACTCAAAGGACTACACTAAAACTGACACAGGAGTCAAATGTGGAGAATTATTAATGTCTTACAGGTCCATATTTCAAGTGAGTTTTGCTTAACACTAACTTTAACACAGACTTTAACATTGTATAAGTGAAATACAAAATATGTAGCCGATATATGATAAAAGTATACAAAAAATTTCAACTGAATATCTTAATTTTTTTTTAATTGTACCTTTGCCACTGTATATTTAAAAAGAAGCATCTAAATTAAAAATGACATTTTACTTTTATTTTTTGTAACACCCTATATATTAATAAAAATATCTTGAAAGATCATAACGTTATAATTAGCTATTTTTATTTTTTGGGATTGTTTTATAAAAAATATATTTGTGGCAAATTCCTTTTAGGATGTTAGAAATGCGGTAGACTATGTACATTTGCATGGAGATCTTAAAAAACGGACTACAGAAAATTTGGAAAAGTATGTAAAAAAGGATGAGCGTCTTCCCATGTTCCTTGCTCGATTACGAGAAAGTGGAGCGAAAACTTTTTTACTGACAAATAGTGACTATAATTTTACTGATAAGATTATGAATTACCTATTCGATTTTTCTCATGGTCCAAGAGTAAGTATTAGACATTTTCTAAAATATACATTATTATTTACATTTAAGTCAGTTAGTTCGTACTTATGCTTAAGAAAACAAAGCGAATGTATTCTTGTAATGTGGAAAATGGTAACTTCCAAACACTATCAATTGAAAAGAGGGAAACTTAACACAGTAACAGTAACCTGATCTCTGGTAACCCTTAAAGTATATACGAGGCGTATCCACAAAGTAAGAGTACTGAAACTCTGATGTTCTGTGGTTTTTGTTTTCCACAAACTTGGCAACACTGCATTCAAGGCCAAGGTGTTGGGAGCAGAGCGTGTGTTCATCTATCTCAGTTAAGAACTGTTGTTGTAGTTGTGTGTTGAAATGAGTGCCGCTATTCCAAATCCCGCCAGCAGCAATGTGAGTTAAAAAATTACTAGTCTTACTTTGTGGATACACCTTGTATTAAAGCCTTAACTAGTACACAGTTCTCAAAATCTTTCGCTTAGTGTACATACTGTGCACTTATCTTAAAATTATCATTTGCTATATTTGTATTGTAGCCTGAAGATCCACACAGGAACTGGAAAACTTATTTTGACATAGTCGTAGTTGATGCCCAGAAACCTCTATTTTTCGGTGAAGGCACAATCCTCCGTCAAGTGGATACCACTACAGGTGGACTTCGAGTAGGCGTTCATACAGGCCCTCTTCAGAAAGAACATGTATACTCTGGGGGTTCATGTGATGTGTTCACTAAATTTATTGGTGCCAAAGGTAAAGACGTTCTTTATGTGGGAGATCATATTTTCGGTGATATCTTGAAGAGCAAGAAAATCAGGGGTTGGCGTACCTTCCTTATCATACCTGAGTTAGTCCGAGAGCTACATGTGTGGACAGATAAGTGTCAGCTGTTTAATGAATTGCAGAACTTAGATGTAAAACTTGGAGAAATGTATAAGTAAGTAATCGTATATCTAGAAGTAATTTCAAGGGTTTACTAGTCATGATTTTATTGTATAGAAATTTAGACAGCAGCACAAAGGAAAAACCAGATATATCAAAACTAAGAGCAGCAATAAGAGATGTTACTCATAAAATGGATATGTCTTACGGGATGATGGGAAGCTTATTTAGATCTGGATCAAGGCAAACATTTTTTTCTTCGCAGGTAAGTCCTGTGTTTCTTCTTAAAGTTAATTCTGTTGGGAAAAGTAAAGCAACGAATGGGAGCCTTGTTTGTAGATAGTTGGTCAAACTTAACGATGAAGATATAAATGGTGACGCTCAAAATTCCCTGTCACCATGTTAATGGTACAAATAAAGGTGACATAGATATTTTTAGCGGCTTCTAATATCATCCTTAAGTTTGAGTCATTTAATATACAGGGTGTTTCGCATAAGAACGGACACAAAGCAGGGGCATATAGGGGAACCCAAAATATGGTGAAAACAACAAAAGTTTTTTGAAAACTAATAAGATTAAGAAAAGTTTTAGAATTAAATTTCCCATAAACTAATGTAATAATTTTTTAAGTCCGCCAATGGGTTAAAAAACTTCATATTTTAATGGTGCATCATCCCTCATCGACCCTTTAAAATGCTTCAGTTGAACTCTACTTAAAGATATTACCTGTCGATTAATTATTTTGGTACACTCACACCATGTATCAAATTCGATTTTTCAGTTCAAGTATAACTGAAATATTGTTTTTTTTTCGAAATTTGAAACCTCACTTTCAAGGGGTGCCACTTAGTAAGTTCGTTAAATCACCATATTTTGGGTTACCCTACATGCGAAACACCCTGTATATAATGGGAGTCATATTCATATATAGGAACCACCTTTGACCTTTAAGCCAGGTTTCTCAATCCTTGGTCTAATTTAGGGTTAACCATCACTTTTCTTTCTTAAATTTTGGACAAAAAACTAAAATTTTCTCTAAAAATGAGTTAACTAAGAATATATTTATACGTTCATGTTTAATTTCATGTTATTACTTTATTACTAAATCTCCATATAAAAAGTGAAAGTTAAATTAATCTTCCATTGAAAAACCGGGGCTTAGAAGCACATGCCTGTTACAAAAACTGACTTTTATGTAAAATAAATTACTTTATTAAGATTGTACTACACTACTACTAAAAGACACTTCACCAAACACCATTTTCATCTTATTATAAAATAAAATTAAACTACCTTGATTGCAGTAAATGTTCTTCATACATCTTCAATGTCGGAGGTCATTGACACTAAGATTCATAAACTAAACACAGTGCTTTAGAAAAATGATAGCAAATACTTTTATGAAATACTTTAAATGGTTTTTAAAATATATTTCAAGTCTATCGGATTAATCGGTAGTTTATTTTCTATTATGTCCATTTGAAAAAACGTGCAAATAATTATTTTAAAACCTATATTAGTTTTATATACAATTTGTCTATCCACATACCAATATTAGTTGATGCAAAAATGGTGCAAAAAATATTAGTCAATGTGCATTAATAATATATCATGCCATAAAGGCATGCAAAAGCAATATATGTAGGGGAAGGTCGGGACACTTAAATGAATTGCAAATAAAAATACGATAAACAAATTTTCTGCCTTTATTTTTAATCTTAAAATAAAACTAGTGTTAGAATCACATTAAAAATTGTTTATTTTAACTTGACATGTTGGTAATATAGACTGATTTGTAACCAAAGGTTCCTAATGAATGGCAGGGCAAGGGGCCACAATTTGAGTGAGAAGTGTTGAGAGAGTAATATGTTGTTCAGAGTTGTCCTATTATTGTTGGTGATTAAAAACTATTGTATTTAATTGACTTAGTTTTATTTGTTTCTATCATTGACTCTAACACTAGGAACTTTTTCAACCATATTGATTAAAAATTAGTAAACATAATAAAAATTTTTAAAGAAATATATTAAAAATATTTTGGCCTTAATTTTTTGGCAACACAAAAGATGGCGGGTAGCTCCAGACAGTAATCAATGGTAGCCCAATCGTTTCTTGGCCTCACAAACATTACAATAATAAATGAATATTCGAAGACTCCATATGAAGACAGTCTTGATGGGCCCAATCGTTGCATTCACGGCTCTGAATTCAGTCTTCTTTAAAAGTTTCGCCACATTATGCTGCATCAGATCTCTTTTCCTCGATCTTCTTTGGAAGACTGAAATTTTTTGTTACCTTCACCGCCTTTTTAGTGCTTTTGCCTTTTTGCTTCGTCCTTTTTATTGCCTTTACTTTTCCTCTCCTATGTCCTCTACATTTTTTTATATTCTGAAGAGGTCAAAATTTCGCTATTCAAGTCGAGTTTTTCGAGCCCGCATTTTTTGGCGCGTCAGGAATGGTAACAACAGATTTATTAAATCTGTCTTGCCAGTCGAAGGCATCGGTTCAGTTGCAGGCAATGTAAAACTAATGGAAGGTACTGGCTATGAAGAATTGGTTGCTAAAAGCTGATTAGGAATGTTTTTCTTCCATTATTATTTCTCCCCTTAAATTTTGGCATATTTCTACAATAGAAATCATTTTAAAATAATTTTCATAAATTAACAAATTGACGAAGCAATTGTAGTTCGTTAAAACAATATTGCGAAATCCAAGGTGTCTGGGGGGTACCCGATCGCTATCATGCCACATTTTTAGTCGCAACTTTTAAATTATACAAGAATTGTTAAAAAATACTATCATAAACTTTAAAAATTTAAAATTTCCTACAACTTCAAACAATAGAAAAGTACGCATACTTACTTATTATGCTTGATAACCTCCAACGAAATGAGAGGTTCCCGATGAAAATTTTTTATCGGGAACAAAACACACACTAGCGTTTAATTCACTAGGTGCCCGCACCACATCTGAGTTGTATTTGTATTTACTCTATAGGACGCACAATTAAAATTAAGTTTTACCTACACGTTATTGGTTTCTTAGAAATTTAAATGTCTGCGATTACCCGCCGTCCGGGGCTACCCGACTTTCCCCTACTTTTACAAAATTATTTTCCATTGCAGTTCCGCTCTCTGCCACTCCCGTTAATTTCATATGTACACTGATAAGTACACTCATACAACCAAGTCATAAACAAAAACAGCAGTGTTTGTTGCCATGCCTGACTTGTTTTGAGCACAAACAAAAAAAAAATTAAAGATCTAATGAGACATTGAATTAAATAAAAATTTAATATTATTTTTTCAGAAAATGTATGTTTTAAAAGGTTTAATTTGTTGTTGTTTAATTAGGTACTCCTTTATAATTGGAATACTTATGGACCATCCTGAAATAATAAAGGTTCTATATCAGGGGTCGGCAAGTAATTTTAGGTTTGGTCCGGATACTTTTGCAAATTTTTAACGAGGTCCAGAAAAAAATTTATTTTAATTTGGACTCACATTTAATTTGCTTACTAACCATTAAGAACTCACACACACACAATTGTGAAATACTAGAAAAAATGATAAGATTGGCACTTAAACGTAAAAAACATTTTTTAAATTATTTGAGTAATTTATACTTTAAAAAAATTTTTGGCGGTCCAGTATTTTACCTTCCGCCGACCCTTGTTCTATATTTTGCATTTACTATATACTTTTACATTTTAGGTAGTAAGATACGCAGATTTATATGCTGCCACTCACCTGAACCTGTTGTACTATCCATTCTCATACATGTTTAGAGCACCAGCAATGCTGTTGCCTCATGAATCTACGGTAGCACACGAACAACATTTTGTTACTGAAATTGTCCCGGAACCAAATGATATCGCAGACGATGACGACAAAATAAATAAAAGAGTACGTTTTTTGTTTACGGTTTCGTATTTAAAATAACGTCAATAATGTTTGCAGGCCTTGGAAAGAAGTCAAAGTCAAATACCACATGTGCGTCCTGCAACACCTCAGTCTGTGACACACAACCACGATGAAGATTTCTCTGATGACGACAGTGATGACAAGACTGGTAAAAATAACGAAAAATCTGATAATATTTAATAAATCTATTAGATAATGATAATGCTTTATTGAATAAAACAAGATTTAAAGTATGTACAAAATATTGCTAAAGATTTGTAAAATACTTTGTTTATAGTACTTTAAAAATATAAAAGCACACATGAAATATAGCTGCAGTTAATAATTTTTAAATCAGAAAACTTGCTCATTTTATTACGACTTTTATAGTACGTCTTAGTAATAACTACTGTGAGAAAGTGTGATTTATTTAATAACTTTTGTACACATAGCCAATTAAATGTTAATAAAAATTGTTGTTCTGATGTATTTATCATGTTTTCTTTAGATTGTATTGTAAAATATAGTGAAAGTTATAAATAAATATTGTTGATTACATTTTTCAATTCGTTTTAATCTACTTTCCTGGGAAAATATCACTGTCATAAACTATTGTTTTGTTTTAAATTATATGAAAAATTTCTAAAAGTTTGGCAAATTTTGCACGAGTTTATAAGTTTAACCTTACATGACCTTACCAAAAAATATAAAAATAAATTCTGACAAATTCTATACAATTGGGCTTACGAGTATAACGAATAATATAAGATAATACAACATAAAAAAAGAAACTTACAAATTGGAAATGGTCTGTTTTACAAATAAAATCAAAGAAATCTTTATATTTTATATTCTTTCCATAATTTTAAATGCACTTCTTTGATTACTTTGTTTAGTTCTTTTTCATAATAGGCAGTCTAAAGAAGTTTTAGCGCTAATTTATTCCTAACACTACGGCTGTGAATTATTTTGGGGGATTCACAATAAATGGCGTAACTTATGCTATATTGCATCAGACACTTCAACTATATTCATGTCAAAGCTCTGTCATTAGCCTTTACTTCTTATTTGTCATTGTGATAACTTCATCACAATAAAAACAGTGTATTTTTTCTCAGCTCCGAATATGTCGAATTACGCGCTAACAAAACACCGTTTACAGGAAGTTTTACTTTTCCTATTTAATTCAAAGAAAACTGCTGCTGAAAGTCATCGAGTGCTGTTGGAAACTTGTGGTGAATAAAGTCCATCGAGTAGCGTTAGAAGTGGTGATTTCGACACAGTTGACAAAGAACGCTCTGATCAATAAAAAATATTCAAAGATGAGGAATTGGAACATTTCTCTACCAAGATTCCTGTCAAACGCAAGATGAACTTGTTGAATGTTGATCGCAAAACAGTTGAAACAATTTAAATGCACTTGGTATGAAGGAAAAACGGTCACAATTCGAGCAAAGGCACATTAAAGTAATTTTTCAACATGACAATGGTCGACCCCATGTTGCTTATGAAGTCAAAAAATACTTAGAAATGCTGAAATGGGATATTTTACCCCACTCGCCATATTCACCAGATATTGCTCTATCGGATTACTACTTGTTCCGAACCATGAAACAAGGTCTGGCTAAACAGTAATCTTACGAAGATCGATTGGTGGATAGCATCAAAAGATGAGCTGTTCTTTTGACACAGAATCCGTATGCGGCTAGAAAGATGGGAAAAAATAGTGACTAGTGATGGACAATAAAAATAATAATGTACACAATTTTTCACAATAAGGCCTTGAATTTACAAAAGAAATCTGGTAACTTTACTTTTGCCTTAGGAATGTGCAGGTTTATACAAATTCTTATAGTCCAACCAAATTACACTCGGAGAAAAAAAATTGTTACCTATACTTTTATAAGTGGAAATGGTAAAAGAGCTTATAATAATAAACCTAAAAAAAATAAATGTGTGAGCAAGGGTGGCAGAGGGTTGATCTGGGGGGTTGAAAAGTTGAGAAAAATTGTATCATTGAGATTTCTGGCGAAAGTTGACATCAAACAAAAAAGTATCCAATGCAAAAGTTGTAGATCATGCAAAAATTTACAACTTTTGTAGAAGTCACTTTTTAAAATAACCTGAAATTTTCGAGAAAAATGCGAAAAACAGGTTTTTTCTGATTTTTTGTTTTTTATTTCTCATTTCCGCAAAAATAAATTAATTTTCACGAAACTTGGTGAAAGTATACCTTTCTGTCTTAAATAACCACAAATTTTTTTAGATAAAAAAATCTAGAAGTTTCCAAGATATTCATTTTTTCTGGTCTGAAACACTTTTTCAAAGAAAAATTCTACTTAGGTAAATCATCATACAGAGTTCTGCCGGTAATCATTTTTTTCGTTTTGACATACTTTTTGGTGAAATAAAAAAATCTAATCACAGTTCAAAAACATGCTCAAAATGCAAAAAAAAATAAATGACTTGCAACAATGATTTTTTCAGTAATTGTTGATAATTTGTTTAAATTAAAAAAAATCAAAAACTGATTACACCATTGAATTCTACGGAAAAAAAATAAGAAAAAACTGTGTCATTGTTTGACACAAAACTTTATTTTTGTACAGTATTGCTAAACATCCAAGTCGAATTACAAATGTACAAATGATCAATTATCTCTGGATGATTTGAGATTTTAGCAATACAAAGTATTAACTGCAAAGTCTACTGTTGATGCGAAACCCAAAAACTCGAAATTTTGCAAAATCGTTTTATTTTTTTAGCTTGTCTTACCTATCATTAAAAATTTTTTCCTGTTTACGGCTGTTAACGCTTCCAAAATGTCTATTGGATGAAGTCATAACAGTATCAGTCAATTTTTTTTACTACTATGCTAATAATTAGAAATAATAAAACATTTCATAAATTCGTATTATTTTTTTATTATAGGTACAACTTTTGAAATTATTGATTAAAAAAAATTGTTGGATATTTGGCGCTGTATTGACTTTTATACTGTTATGACTTCCTCCAAAAGGTATTTTGAAAGCGTTCAGAGCCGTACTCAGGAAAAATTTTAAATGATAGCTAAAAACCTTTTTAACTTAACCTTAAGTACTGACACAATTGTAGGAACATATGTACTGATGTGTCGTCTTAGAGACTACTTTTAAAAAAATATTTGTACTATGGCATTATTTAAAATTTTAAATACTTTTGTTTAAGTATAATATACTTCACTATAATGGTATGTGATATAAATTATAAACATTGAAAAAATTATACTAAGTGTTTGAAAAAATATGTATTTGGTAACTAAAGATAAGAAAATGTAATATAAAAGCATATATATCGCGTTTTGATAAAAAAATAAAAAAATTAATGCAAAACTAAATTCAGGTGTTTTAAATGTTAAATAAATATTAAAGAAGCATTGTACATAGAAAATACGAAAAAATGATAAACATAACAATACATTAACAATCGTCAAAAATATGCTTCTCATACTTCTTCCATGCAGCGGACGCATACCCTCTTTGTACACTGAAAACATATAGGCTTCTTACATGTGTTACACAAGTATTTTGTCATTTGCCTCTTTTTACTTGGGCAAATGGAACATATTTTTTGTTTTTTTAATCTATCTTCGTCGTATGCAAAATTTTATTTCTTTAAGAATGTAAAGATTGGCTTCTCTCCTTTTCATATGTGGTTCAGCTAGTTGTCTTACAAGTTGTTTTAGAAAAGTTTTTGAAGAACTCACGTTTCTAGACATTTTGAGGCAGGAAACAAATACGTGTACGCTTATAAGCATAGCTACACTCGTACTGACGCGTCGTCTACTGGACGACGTTCAACTTTCAGTTTCCAGTTACTTCGGTACTATTCGGTAATATTTCTTTTAGGCATGCTGTATACCTTTGTTGACCTTTCATTTGAGAGTACACCGATATTGGGATTAGAATTCTGTTAAATAAAAAAGATATCGAAAATTATAAAATAGCAGTAGTCTGTCTGACGACATGTCAGTACTTAAGGGTTAAGCGATTACAATAGCAATATCATCTAATTCAGAATTAAAAATGACTAGATTTTGTCATAAAAATAGCAGCGACATATTAAAACATGGAAACATCGGATTGCAAAAATGTTGACGCCATTGGATAGAGCGAAAAAGGTGGCACTGTAAATATGCAATTTATTTTAAAATTTGTTTTCAAATAAAGCTAAAATAAAAATTAAACACTTGCAAAATTTAGGGTTTTTCCGGATATCTCCGGAACTACCTGGAATTTTAAAACTCTAAATGGCATATTGTATGAAAAAACACAACTTTTTTCTAATCTTAGCCACCCCGAATCTCTTACCGTTTCCTAGATCCTAATGCTATCCCATGCTTATCTTGGACACATTGTATATCTATGAATTCATCAAAATTTAAAAAAAAATAAGTACACTAATTGATCCTACGGAAAAAAAAAATATTTATTTTATTTATTCACTATTCGACATGTTTATAGCAATACTGTACAAAAGTAAAGTTTTGGGTCAAACAATGAGACAGTTTTTTTTTGTATTTTTTCCGTACAATTGAATGGTGTAATCAGTTTTTGATTTTTTTTTAATTTAAACAAATTATCAAAAATTACTGAAAAATTCATTGTCGTTTTTTATTTTTTTGCATTTTTGAGCATGTTTTTGAACTGTGATTGCAGATTTTTTTATTTCGCCAAAAAGTATGTTAAAACGAATAAAATTGTCACCGGCAGAACTCTGTACGATGATTTTTCTAAGTAGAATTTTTCTTTGAAAAAAAAAGTGTTTCTGACCGGAAAAAATGAATATCTCGGAAACTTCTTGATTTTTTTATCTAAAAAAATTTGTGGTTATTTAAGACACAGAAAGGTATACTTTCACCAAGTTTCGTCAAAATTAAGTTATTTTTGCGGAAATGAGAAATAAAAAACAAAAAATAAAAAAAAAAACTGTTTTTCGCATTTTTCTCGAAAATTTAAGGTTATTTTAAAAAGTGACTTCTACAAAAGTTGTAGATTTTTGCATGATCTACAACTTTTGTGTTGGATACTTTTTTTTTTGACGTCAACTTTCGCCAGAAATCCCAATGATACAATTTTTCACAACTTTTCAACCCACAAATCAACCCTCCGCCTCATGCATTTATTTTTTTTTTTCGTTTATTATAAGCCCCTTAACCATTTCCACTTGTAAAATTCCAGGTAACAATTTTTTTTTCCCTCTAAATGAGTTATTTCGATTGGTCTATTAGTCATATCTTGGAAAAGATTGAACCTTATGTAATGTACGTAATACAAAGAATTACTACAATGTTTTCTCTTCTGTTTATTAATAAACAGAAAAATAAACCGACATAATATTTTAAATCCTTAATTTCTTTATCATTTTCTATAGCTATATTTTTTTTATTTCGATGAGAATATTCTTTAGACTTTACCTTCCAAACCTGGCAATAGTTAATAAATTACTTGAAATAACATCATATATCAGATATTTTTAACAAAGTAACTGAGAAAATCAGATAAATAAAAACATCTATCTGCGTACAATTGGGGACACGGTATGCAAGCCATTCATAACTGCAAGGTTTACCGTGTAAACCAAATTTACGCAAATAAATCTTTAAAACAACAAAGTTTATTCATATCGGGTCTCAAAGTTTGTAACCACGTACACGTACCGGCTATAAACCAGTTTGTGCATGTAAAACCTGTTTGTATGGCAGGTCCATAACATTACGACTGGAATAAATGTGTATGTGCAAAGTCTTGCTGGCCTTTTCCCAGTAAAGTTAAGGTTAAATTAAGATAAAAATCTGCTTATATACTTACGGTAAGTAATTAATCTAATAATAAACAACGACATTACATATACTGATACACAAATCTAGAAAAAATCTAGACACCATGCTATTGTATAGGAGTATAAAGGTAGGATTTTTAAGCTTCCGGCGAGACGGCCTATGGTCGACATCGGCCTGGTTACTATTTCGACAGCATTCCATGAATATATTAAATATTCCATATTGTGCATAAAGCCATACATATTTGAATTACCATCCTGTAAAAGTCCTAAGTACTGAAATATAACCAGATTCCTTGTTAATGTTGCTGCCACACATCACCTTGCGAGAAGCTTAAAAATCTTACTTTAAAGTAAGTGACCTAAAATTCATAGCTATGAAAGTCCAAATTCTCTGCCATTTGCTGTTCTTGTCGATTTATGTTGGTAACACAAAGCATAAACTATTGGTATATCTAAATTGAGGCGTCACATGTCAAATGATACTTTAAAACTCAACATTTTATGTTTCACAACGTTAGCAATTGGTTCCTTCATCTATATTGCATTGGCCGAAAGTCTTTGGATTTCCTATGTTGAGCAATTTTTAGGTACCTATAGAATTGGCATAAACGGGGAAATCTAATTTTTTTTTTGTATTTACACACCCATTATTAGAATAGATTTATTGTTTCTTTAAAGTAATAAATCTTGTAAATAGTCTTCCATTTCTTCCTCTCTACTTTTTGTTTCTAATGGTTTATGACTGTCCCAAGGAGATTCTAAGTCATCTGTTGGAACTATATTACTTTCATCGTATTTCTCTGTGTCTTGCTTGTCTGGATGTAAAGATTTAGTGCTAGTACTGGGTGAATCAGTACGATTCAACTCCTGTGTATTTTTATTAATTTTCTGTCTCAAAGATTTCCTCTGTAATCTTTTGACTTCTTTTTTTTTGTTGTGATAATTTAATTTCTTTGAACACTCTGGACACAATCCTGAAAATTATTGTTACTTTAGTAACAAGTATCCTATAGCATTAAATGTAGCTTACATTCATAAAGTATTGAAAAGAAATTATTGGAATGATAACTTACTTATTTTAACTAAAGCATTTTTTTTATTTCCTTGCTCTATATATGCAAAATTTACTTCCCATGTTCGCAAGTCCTCTTTCTCTTCACATTTTTTATTTCCACATATAAACTGTCCTTTGCCAACAATTACTTCCTTTTCTGTTCTCCATCGCAATGCTATCTTTCAAACTTTCATATGTTAGTTGAATAGATAATTGAAATTAATAAAAATTACCTTATTTTCTTTATATAAAGTTAAGTCTCCAATGCAGTATTCTTTAAAAAGTTTATCATAATATTTTTTTGCAAATTGTAATTCCCAAGATTTAGGTGTTTCGTCGTTATCCCAAAGAAATTTATGATTTTCTTTAATAACGTGGTAATCATTCCGATCTTTAGAAGTATCTCTTTTAAGTAACCTCGTATCTCCTGGTTTTTTTAAAACATAATCATTTATTATTAGCTTATGTAAATCATATGGATTTAAATATCGCATTTGTGTTCTTAAACTAGTCATATTATTATTTTTTCTACAAATATGTTACAAATAAATACAAATTAATATAAACATAAACAAAACAACTTCTTTTTGTTCTTTCAAACATAACCACAAAATTCAAAATACTTTAACACTTACGTAGATGCTTAAAACCAGGGTGGCCAATGCATTTTCAAACAATTCCCCTATTGTATTGTCTAGGAATATTTATTTTATATCAGTGCAGTATTGCCAGATCAACAACATATATTCGAGATTGGCGTATTAGGAACAAACTACACTCTAAATATATCGAAATGTAAGGTAATTAAATGCATGAAAAAGCATTTGTCTATTCAATTTGATCATAGTATTGGCAATGATGTATATCACTCATAAAAACTTATCACTTATATTTATCACCAGAGTCAAGATTGGTGCCATTGATTTTTTACCGTTTTGTTTGATTGGTACTTCTGCCACGATTAGCAGACAATTTCATATTTCAATTTCAAATGTTGCCAAGTTACTACAGAAAAGTAATCTGAATAATATTAAAGTTTGGAAGTTTGGATGAAGCATGAAGTTAGAGTAGACTTAGTCAGGAATTATACTAAAAAACATCTAAAACATCTATCAATGACATTCTTTTAATTTTAAATTAAATGTATAGTGCATTTTTAACTTTTTTCATTTTTAATAATTTTTATTTTGAAATGCATGCATTTGCAGTTGAATTAGAGCTATAATTTTGTTGGCTTTGCATGCACTAAATGTATTGTACTTGTTTCTGTTCCAATTTTAAAATAAGTAGTAGCGATAGCGGTGATAAGAACTCATTTGCTGATTCTGGTAAGAATTCAACACTGGCAGGTCTTCTAAATTATTGTTAGTCACATAATATGACACAAGTCTTATTGTATGTTGTAAAAGTGCTCTATCATGATTACAAATGATTTATCCTATTATTCCAGTAAATTGCCCACAACTTTCACAATTATTGGAATTTCAGTATGACATTTACATACAATATTCTTAAGACCGCAAACTTTAAGATGAGCGAAAAAAAGAATTTGAAAAAACACTTTTCGACTCAGATATCCCCCCCCCCCTTTAAAATGTACATATGCTTAATGTGACTCGTTATTAAATAAATCCCTTTAGAGGTCATGAAATACTTAATTCTTAATTCAAATGTGACGGGTCAAGTTAAGAGCTAAAAACCGATTTTAAAGATAAACTTGTATGCAACAAACAAGACACTCCAAACATTTTTCTCGTAAGACAATCACTGATAAAAAATAAAATATTTCATCAAAATATTGCTCAATATAATTTTGCAAAATATACAGTTAATTAGGGTTGATAAAGTAACGATAATAAAAATTTGAATCTGGCAAAATCAGTAAGATTCCTTCAGGGATGTTACAGGTGTTACTTTTTCAGAAATCTGCAGATACAAACGTGGATATAAATTTTCTGAATCATCATCTGTAGATATGAATTTATAACGAGGGGTTTTGTATCGGTGGTATCTTCGGAGGAGTTTAGGGCTTGGGTTTTCGGATATGGACCGATGCACCACAATAGGAAGAATCCTCCGATGACAATGCAGTGATTCGGCTTCGTGGACTGAATCGTCAACCAAATCCGCTTAGCACAGATGAATCATCCACAGAAGGTGATCAGCTGGCGACAATGACCGCATCGAGGGAGGTGCTATGTTTATAACATCGGTATGAAAATAATAATAGCTTGTCTATTTTTTCTCATTTTCTTCTGACAAACATATTAATGTTTGTCAGAACACTTTATTTGGGATTATTTTTATTAGTTTGAAATTTCCTTGAAACAACACGATTTCTTCCTAACTGAATTTTGGTAGAGGTAATTGACAGTTTATCAATGGATTATCTTGCAGACATGTGGTGCGATGTCGGTACGTTACGCTCAGAATCAACACATTATATCTGCAAACTTGCAAGTGGATGCAAATGTAGATGCAAATCATGAAAACTATTTGCATGCTCTGCAGTTGTAAACACAGATGTCCATAACATTCCTTTTCTGATATTACCAGAACTATCTTAATCTTGGATTTTTTTCAGCATGTAGCCGGAAGTGAAATAGATTGTATTAAGGTGCGCCAAAAAATTTTTTAAATATAAAAAAGTGCACGATAAATATTTTTAACATGCTGGCGAAGTAATTCCAAAGACAGAATTCATAATTTTCATTAATTTTTTTTACAAATTTCACTACCTACTAAAAAATGTAAACAACGATACTTATATTAAATCATTTAAAATAAATGACGTATTAAAAAAAAAATCATTATCGTCTAAACTGCTTTTTAAATTTTTCGTAATGGTAGTCATCTGTTGCTTTTTCATCCTTCTTCTTTGGTTTTTCTACTTCAACTTCCACTTTTGCTTTTTTCTTAGGGATATCAGAAGCATCTATATTAACTAAAAGTATGTAGTCAAACAATAATAAGTACTTCATTTTATATGTAACTTACATCTATTGTGTTGAACAAAATTTACAGCCATATTCGTGGGTACGAACTGTGAAGGGCCATCTTTTTTGTTCTGTTTCTCCCAAAGTAACCTGAGTTTTGCTTCTTCGGTAGCTTCTATATTGCGTATTTTTGCCTCTATGCCTAAATCCACTTCAGGTATACCACTTAGCATTTGATTAGACAACATTTCTTCCGATCTCTTCGTAGAAGACTCCCTTTAATCAAATTTTTAATTAGGTATAATTATAATAATTGAGATTAATTAACAGGACATTTCTTTTACCTCAAATGTGTTGGCACACATCGCAATGCAGCCTCTTCTGGACTGAGATATGTAGAATTTTTATTATTGATATTGTCCTGTCCCTCCACCGAATCTGCTTTTCCTTTTCGTTTAGATAATTCTTCTTCTATGAACTTCATCATTTCTTCATCTTCATCTCTTTTGTTAGTTTCTGCACTGAATTGAGTCCCTATACCAGTATCATACGCATCATCTACTTGTTTCATTTTACCACTTTTGAGAGCTTGCATATTTATCATGCCCCCTACTTTAACATTAAACTGATCTTTCTAAAATATAAGAAAATAACCGTTCTTCATGGTAAATGTTTATGATACTTAAAACTCATTTTAATTTACACTTACCGCTACAATTTCATCTTCTGCTGTAACTTTAGTGCCTAAAGCTAATCCAACAATGCTAACCCCATTTGGCCTTTCCCGCAATTTCTGAATTGCTTTCATTTCTTTTAATTTGGAGCTAAATGAGACAGGACAGTTTACAAAAAATATATATACATTAATATATCTCACCTTGTTTGATCAATTGTGTCGTCTTCATCGCTTTCTTCCGTTTTTATTCTTTTCCTGAGTTGTTTACGTTTTCTGTTTTTAAATACAATTCTTCTTTTTTGTTCTTCATTATCTTCAACGTGATTAAACTTTTCCTCGCCTTCAGACATTATTTAAATAAAATGATGTAAACTTTTAAAGTACATCAAAGAACATGAATGAAGATAAATAGTAAAATATCAACCAAACAATTTTTAGGTTAAGGTTTATAACATAACCTCAAATGTCAAATTCCTGGCCCATTTCCTGATACAATCCCTAGGTTGATCTAGGGAATTTAATTTCAGTTAAAAAAAAATGCGCCCAAATTATTTAAATTGTAACAAAAACAAAAATCAGTGTCGTAGCTAAGGGCTGGCCGCGAGAGGTGCAAACCTCAAGGGGGGCGTCCTTTAAAGTTATTGTATTGTTTCTCTTGGTAGAAAATAAAAAAGGACTAATTTTATATCTTATGCTTAAACACCATATAGGCAACTGATTGATAGATTTGGGTTTCAATGCTTAGATTTGAGGAGAAAATTAAACTGTCACTTTCCTCTACAAGTTATTAAATGGTCAAATTGTCAAATTGATTGCCTTGAGCTTTTGAGGCATAATTTTAGAAATACCTATACTTTTTATTGCTTGCGAAGAACTAATCTTTTATTTAAGTCACCTCTATATACAATATGTGCAACTTATTTAATATGATGTCGCATCTCTGTGATACAAATCATACCAGTTTAAAATCTATTTTATTAAACATTTCAGGTACTGTAGATGAAGATTTCTGTTAGTTAGTTACATAAGTTATTCCCTTTATTTTTTGTTTATTAGTCATTATTACTTTACCTATTGTTCTATATGTAATTGTTCTATTATTGATCTTGACTGTTGGGTAATAAAGTATTTTAATTTAAATTACACTTTAAAGTTATTGTAGTTTCTCTTTCTATAAATTTTGGGGGCGCAAAATTCAAATCTTGCCATGGGTGCTCATGACCTTAGCTACGACACTGTCAAAAATACTAAAGATAAAAAAGTGGAAGCAAAATTATAAACACTGAAAATATATATATATTTTTTAAATGGCAATAATATTTATAAACCAGGTACTATTCTAATTAAAAAATATGTACTAAATACAAAAGGGATTTGAACACAGGACATTCTGCACTCTAAGCGCAAATCATACTCTTACAGTCTAGGGGTATAATTTCCGCTGTAGGGCCTAGACCGAGTCAATGCGTTATAAATAGGAGAATAAAGTATACTACTACCTAGGATCATAGATAACTTAGGACTGCCATTTCTTTTAAAAGTAAGCTGCCTGTACATTTAATGCTAATAAAACGACATTTTAAAGATTGACAAAAGTCGTGGTCCCATCGAAATTATTTTCATTTTGATCATGAACTCTTAAACATAGCAATCCATGATTGCAGAAACTGAAAGTACCGCCCACTTTCTGCTTTTATATATTTTATGTGCCGTACACTTAAGTGTTTTCATCGCCACAGTTGATGAGCCCGTCATACTAAATTGTTACTAATATTTTTTACAATAAGACTTAAATTTGATACAAGATTTTTTTTTGGTATGTGATACACAGAAATTGATTATCCATCGCAGTATGCGTTCATAGAAGGATGGTTGCACATGACAATTTGTTTGCACACAACCACATTTGTATAATCTGCGGCTTACAATATTCATGAATTTGAGACGAAAATGTTTAACTGTTATTGCGTTATCTTCATTATTTCTCTAAGAAACTTAAATCTCGTTACAGTAGTACACCAACCGACCAGAGAAAAATCTACTTTTTGACTTGCTCAAGATTACAATTCTTTAAAAAACTGCATTTCCTTACTAATTTGTATTACATTTCTGATATCTGTAAAAAAACTTATAGCAACTTTTTGGAAAAACTTGGGGACAGATTTTTTTTCAACATTTTTGTTCGAGAAGTCATTGATCATATTTTTCTTTTGTTAACTTTCTTTTTTCTATATTTTTTTACACATTGCATTTTTTTGTTTACCTAGTAGGACACATATTTGAAAGCTTAAAAAACACTTTATGTTTTAAGTATACATTTCAATATGACACATACAATAAAAAAATAAAAAACTGGAAAAGAAATTATGTTTTCCCAGAAACTGTGTTCTCAATAAAAGTCCTTGTAATTTTTAAATCTAACAGTAATTAAGATAAAAAATTAGTCAAAAGGGCCGTTTTTTTAAGAACACCTTGTATCTGAAACAGAATTTATAATATAAAAAAATTTGCTTATATTATAAGTTTAATTGTCTGTTATGAAGTGATCAGAAAATTTTACAAGTTCAGTATGAAAAAAAAAAAAGTTTCATTTAAATCTGTCAACATTTATTTTATTCAAAATTTGTAGTTATTTACGAATTCATTTTCAAGAAAAAATGCTTTCTGGCCTGGATCAATAACAGACATCTGTAGGTATTTAAATAATATGGAAACAATATACATATAGTTTTCATATAAATTTTTTTGAGAATTGTAATAAAAATTTAGATATACATATTCATGCCAGTAGTAGTCATTTTCATATGGAATGGATTTTCTGTTTTCTCCACAGTTGAATTTCTTCTAATTATGTTTCCATTTTCTGTTTGTATTCCTCCTTCTTGAGAAAAATACCTCATTTTCCTGTTGACAATTGCAAAATTTAATGAGGGAAGTATACAACTATTCTAAAATTAGTGGCAAAATTTCTCAAAATTTTTAAATATTTATCAAGTGTTTTTACATTTTTTTTTCAAAAATGGATGGGGTATACCGTCCCTCCAATGGGGTAAGGAATGGTACATATACTTTTTTGCAATATCTTAAAAGTTTTTAGTGATACTCATATTTTGAATTGAGTCATAGGATATTTAGATTAATTTACACATTATTAAATACCATTCGGCTAGAGATATTTTAAACTTGTTTTTGGTGAAAGAAATACAGCAGAGCTTTCAAGGTTACATTTGAATTGAATTACATGACCTTATTTAAATTCTAAACTTTCTTAAGTACCTAATATTTAAAACTGAAGTACCTACTTGTTTTATGGGAATTATTAGAAACGTGTTCCTTATCAATGCATATCCAACTGATAGTGAAAAATGTATTATTAAACTACAAATTTACTGTATGTAAACTTGTATTTCTCAAAAATGGTTCGGTTTATGAAAATTAAACGGTATCTATTTTTTCTCTAATAATCTACAGACAAATATTTAGAAAAAAAAAATTTAAATCAGAGAAAAAGTAAAAACTTAAGGGGAAAATAATAACAGTCGTCAATTAAAACCATCCCTTTACAAAGATGTAGGCCAGATGCTTTTAAGTTTAAGCTTAGAATATAAATACGATCTCAATAAATATTGCAAAAAATATACATACCATCTCCATTCTAAAGGAGTATCCATTTTCAGGAAAAAGTTTGCATATTATAAACTCATCCTTATTTTTTGATGTTCCTGAAAGTATCGGAAGACAATTTAGGACCACAGAATAGCAATCACAGTATAAAATATTGATAAAATATTACACATACATAACAAATTCTATTTTTAATAGATTAGAACTTGGACCTGCCTAATGCTCGAAAATATTGTAGTAGATATCTATAACCTTCCATTTCAATGTTTCTTCCCTCTTTTAATAAAATTTTTGCCTAGGTGATGACAGGAGTTCCATTGTTTCCATACCTTCAGCTTCTAAATACCCTGACGCTTACAATATTGTTTGCTAGTCATAGTAGTCACAGGCGTAGATAAGATTCTTGCTTGTGGGTAGGCCTTGAGGGGACAGCTGGCCAGTCGGCTAGTCTAACGAAAAAGATGATATTATAGGATAGTTCTTTTTTCTGGTGTGAGCGCCAGGCCCTCTTCCCCAGCTACACGGCTGATAGTAGTTTGAGTATTACCTTTTTTGAATTAAGATACAAGTTCCATTTGTAAAACTTTGAATTACATATTTTATAAAGAAAAAAAAAAAAACAGTCCTATTTAAATTTGGAAAGTTAAAATATCTATGTATGCAGTTAAACCTGTGTTTCCCATTTAAAAAATGTATTATGTGATTACATAATGGCATTTGAACTGTTTTATAGATTGCATTTATATGAAATTTTCAAAATATAAAAAATTAACTTAAAAAATAGTTTTCTATTTGTTACCAATTAATTCCCCCATAAAAAAATATTTGTTATCTGTAAAACATAAAGAACAATATTTTGGCATTATCTTTAATCATAATTTACAGTAGATATAATAATTAAATGCATACAATATATCTATGCACGTTTTTATATGGTGTCTGTCAACCTTATCACTTGACAATTAATTATTTTTAGAAATGATAGCAAAATGCTTACTAATCAAAAAAATTTATAGATCAGTAGATATGAGTACATAGTCTCTTTTGACATTTTAATAGTTATTTTAAATTTTTGACTCGATTGTATTGATAATAGATTAAATTATATTAAACAGAAATATACAAAATATATAGGGTCAGCAATATTAACAAAATATTTTTAACAATAAGCAATATGTTTAATAGAAACCAAACTATGAGATAAAATCATACTTATCCCCTGCTATAAGACTCATGCAAGAAGGGAATAAGTTACGTCACTTATCCTAATCTTGGTATTTGTCCTGGACATGATTCTATCTAATAATCTTAGATACTTGCAGAAAAACGTTTTTAATATTACTTATCCACTTTTTCCAGCTGGTATAAATTTAAAAATACATGCAGGAATCTCGTTCTGGCACCACAAATGATTTTTTGGGCATATCACTATTTATACAAATGTTTCACTCTAATTCAGATGCAAATGTTATACTTATTTAGCCAAATATGATGTCAAAATTACTAATATAAAAAAACATGCCCCTTCTGAACTATTTACATTTTGGCGCTTATCCTCTTCTTGCATTAAGGTCTACAATTGTAGTAAAGCATTCTTGATTTTTATATTCCACATGTACTTCACTAGATATGAAAAATTACAATAAATAAATAAATAAATAAAAAGGAAAATGCATATTCTTTTCTAAAATAGAAAACATACAATTATTTTGCTATTGCCATTACAATTTTAAGTGATCAAATCACTAAAAATTTAGTAATGTGCTGCAAAAACCACCTATACAGGGTGTTTCTTAAGTAGAGGTCAAAAATCCCGGGGCATATTCTATGGCCAAAAATAAGGGATTTTTTGTTATATCAATGTGGGGTCTTAGGATAGCCATTGTCTAACAACAGCATGTCAAAAATTAAAAAAAAAATCAGTTTTTAATTTTTAATTTCTAAACTGCTTAACCGAGATAATTTTACCAAATTCGGTGTGCATATTTAGTATGATAGTAGGTATGAAACAAAAAATTACCAGCTTTAGAAACATCAGTGGCGGAGGTGTGGGTATCATCGATCATTATTTGCCAAAAGAAATATATCATCCTGTATAATATTACAAATGAAATAGGTCATCATATGCACCATTGTATTATCTTCACTTTTTCTTTACACTTTTTTGTATTCCAAATCGATTAACAACAAAACTGATTTATTTGATCAAGTGCATTTTTACGATACTAATTACATTACTTAAAATAATAACAAAATAATTAATTAATAATGGAATTACTTTACTATGATTTAGTTGGATGAAATGGAAAGATTTCCAAATCATCCAACTTCAAATCTAAAAATGTTCAGAAATGTTTTTCAACATCTATCGAAGTCAGGCTCATTTCAGAAAGGTCCAGTTCCTGTAAGACCTTTCAGTGTTAGAATGCCTGAATTGGAACAAGATATTCTACAAGAAATTGAAGAACACCCAAATACTAGTATTAGGAAGATCGCTGCAACTCTTAATGTGAATCATAAATTAGTTTAGTAGCTTTTAAAGCATCAACAATTGTACCCATATCACATATAAAGGGTTCAAGCCTTACTGCAGCTAGACTATCCTGCATGCCTATAATTTTGCCACTGGATTTTGCAAAAAATTGAACAAAATGTTGACTACCACTGACATATTGTTTATCGACGAAACTAATTTTTGCAGAGATGCTATAATGAACTTCCACAATAAACACGTTTGGTATGATGAAAACCCTCATGCCATAATGAAATCTTGATTTCAACATCAGTTTTCTTTGAGTGTATGGGTGGGTATTTTCTTGTTGGGCCTTACTTTTTACCAAGAACTTTAGCCGGTGCCTCCTACAGACATTATCTTGAAAACGTTTTACATGAACTACTTGACGATGTTTCCTATGCGCTAAGAGAATAAAGAGTGTGGTTTATGCACGATGGGGCTCCCCTACATTTTAGTTTGACTGCTCGTGAATTTTTAAATGAAAGATTCGATAATAACGTGATTGGACGAGGTACCCAAGAACCAGGTCAACCTTGGCCACTCAGATCACCCGATATCAATCCTAGTGATTTTTTGTTTGAAGACATCTCTCAAGACATTAGTTTACAAGGTTTACATTGAATTTCAGGATTACATACATCAATAAATTATAACTGGTTGTGATGAGATAAGAGCTACCTACTCCAGGAATTTTTGCATGTGTTTGAGCTGCAACTGCATGATCTGAAGCATGTCTTTTGGCTGAAGATGGCCATTTCCAACATTTTTTACAATAAATAAGTCATGGTAAAGTAATTCCATTGTTATTTAATTATTTTGTTATTGTAATGTAATGAGTATTGTAAAAATCCACTTGATCAAATAAATCAATTTTGTTGTTAATCGGTTTGGAATTCAAAAAAGTGTACAGAAACGAAATGTGAAGATAATACAATGGCTCATATGATCTATTTTACAGGGTGATATTTTTTTTTGGCAAATAATGATCGATGATACCCACACCTACACCACTGGTAAGTGGCTAAAGCTGGTAATTTTTTGTTTCATACCTGTCATACGAAATATGCATACTGAATTTGATTAAATTATCTCAAGCAGTTTAGAAATTAAAGATTTTTTTTTAATTTTTGACAAGCTGTAGCTGGACAATGGTTGTCCTAAAACCCCAGATTTATATAACAAAAACCCTTATTTTTGGTCACAGAATAATATGCCCCTGGATTTTTGAACTCTACTTAAGAAACACCTTGTATAGTAGCGTGAATCAAAATTGACAATGTATGTAAATTGTAAATCAACAAATTGTACTCAATCACCATTATTATACTCAAAAAGGTAATCATTATAGTCTAAGATTTTGACTTAGATTGAGCTTCACCCATCGAGTTTTCTAATGACATTTGAATTTTCATAATATAATGTATTAATAAACAAAACTTGATTTGGTCGACATCCAATTTCCCTGCACAGCTATTTTTAATAAAAAATTAAAGTTCAATTAAATTTAAAGTTACCTATTTACACCTGTCTACCTGGTTTTATCCAAGAAACAAAAATGTCGACCAAACTTTAACATATTGTATATATATATCTTTTGACATNAATATATATATATATATAAAAATTAATAACTTTTTTTTATTAAAAATAGCTGTGCAGGGATATTGGATGTCGACCAAATCAAGTTTTGTTTATTAATACATTATATTATCAAAATTCAAATTTTATTAGAAAACTCGATCCAAGTCCAAGTCAGGATATTGTACTATTATTCTAATTGCATATACAGAAAAATATTAACTTTTTAATTATTTAAATAATTATTTAAATTTGCTAATTTCAGTTTAGTAAATGATTTTTTCTATAAAACTTATCACAGTACTTCATACAGTGTGTCCAGAAGCAACTGGGCCATACTTCAAGGTTTATACTTTCTTTGAATGGTTCAACTTACTTTTCATTTTCTAAAAGATAAACTTTTTTGCTAAGTACTTTTTAAGATAAATTTGTCACTTATTAATAGGATGGTTTGCAGCTGGATATAGACATAAGCCTATTTCTTATTTAAGACCCAGATTGTTAAAAAGTTTTTTTTGCTATAGACAATGCGTAAGAAAACGGATATGTTTTTATGAAACTTAACTTGTGATAAAACACTTATACCTGTTTCATGTTGCTAAAATAGTACACTCCAAAGACTAAACTTCAGTTTTCTAATTTCTGGTGTTATTAATTATAGAGCTGATTTTTTTTGGGGCACTTTAATTCAAGTTATTTTGCTAAATTTGTAGTTATATTAAACATATTTGCGACATGTGCATATTTTCAGCAAAACACATTAAGTGCAGAATTAGATAAACAACATAAAAGTGCATAATCTGGTTAAAAACAGCCATTTTATTTTTTACAAAATTATGATTGTCCATGGTAAAATTAAAAACAATTGCAATTCTTAAATAAAAAAGGCCAACAAAACAGTTGTTTTAACTCCACTGAAAAATTTGATAAAGAAACGTTAACAAAACATCTAGAGGCATCTGTATCAGTATGCTTCGACATATAGTAAATAAAGTGAATTTCCACAAAACACCAGCATTCTCCCAAAATCTCTGCCAATAAAATATAGGTAAAAAAATTATTGTTTCGGTTATACTTAGTAGCCTGTCTCCATGCTTTAGATAAAAAATAATCTTATGTTAATTTTCGGTTATTACAAAAACCTGACTATACCAATTTCACGGAAAAATGTTATTTAGTGTAAAATTTTTTTAAAGGCCTGTAACTCTTAGGAAGCAAAATTGTACTAAGGTAATCTAAATGTTATTTTCTTCCAAGGGAGCTACCCCCAAAGTACGGCCCATTTATTCCCAGACACCCTGTATATTATTTCAAATAATCCATGTACATACAAAACCTCAACTAAACATCAGTTACAATTATTATTACATATGTATTTATAAATGGAATACTCACATATTTCCTGTAGCAGAATCCATTTTCCCGTTTTCCACTATAATGTGAAAAATAAGGCACACTTTCATATTATATATTTATAAAAACCATGCTAGACTTTTCCATCATATTTTGATGCGTTAACGAATTCTTTTTTTGAGATATTTAGAGGGGTGGTAACCCCGGAAAGGAAAGGGACATAGGAAGGGGTACAGATTAGGGATTAAAGATCAAGGATTAACAGGACAATTTTTTTTTAGTGGAAATATATTTTAAATTTGGTATCTAAGGAATGTACAAACATTTTGCAAAGGATAAGGTATAGGCAAGGACAAGGGTAGAGGTATCACAGATTTTAGGATGGAGATGAAATATATGATTTTTTTTACATAATTACATATTGCTAAGTAAAATGACTTTAGTGAACAATATGAGATCTGAGATTCTAAAAACTAAAACTTAACTGGTATACAATAGAATAAAGAGATCCTAATAAACCCCATAATGAGAAACTAACAATAAATTTAAAATTTTGTCATTTCATAAGAACCAAAAAATTAAATGAATTAAAAAAATTAGAATCCCTAATTCTTAAAAACAAATCACCAAATATTAACTTAAATTCTGATATTGCACATCACTGCAATTTGTGTTAATGAGGGAAGACTTTCCTCAATATTTACTACAGCACAATATTGAATGATGACCAATGATTTTTAAGTACACCACTCAGCACTCTCTAATATATAAACTCTGTATAGAATTCTATGTAAATGAATGATAAATATGCTGAGTTGTATACTTGGTTAAAGCTTTGTTGATTACTCTTACATCTATATCCTTAATTAATAGTGATTATACATTTGTACTGCATTTAACAAAAATATGCGTCATAATTGACGATTATTTAGATTATATTACATTTTTCTGAACACGATAACAAAATAGCATTTAAAAAATTGTCAATTTGTACTGTAAGTATACTGTTTGTTATTAAGAAAAAATTGACCATTTACTACTAATTAAAGCTTCTACGTTTATCTGAACAAATCTCTGTAATGCTCAAAATTATAAATCAGTACGTGCCAATGGTTTGAGCAAAGGCGGAGAGCATTAGAGAGCTTGTTAGAGACATCATAAATGCTTCAAATGCTATTTGTTACCACATAGACATTAAAAACTAAACATTTATCACACACTTATTTTTGAGCATTGCTCATAAATTACGAACTCAAATTTATACTCTTACAATTTTCAACAGTTAAACAAAATCACATTTAGAAATAGACTAAAGTAAAGGTTTAAAACTATCTACAATCTAAAGCAATCACGATTTGTAAGTATGACTGCATATCACAGTGCGGCTGAACAGGACAATTATTTCTACAATAAAACACAATACCGGGACCATCTCAAAGTATTCTCTCACTTAAAAACATTTTATTATACAGAGCTCTAAAAAAATAGTCCTTATAATACCATATTGTCGTGTTCACTCGCTACCAAAACTCTTAAAATTAATCACATATTCTCAATATCATGCTCACTCATCATAAAAGTATATATAAAGATAAAGGTCTTTTGTAATTAGAATTTGTTGATGGATTTACAGGTCAACCCTGTACTTTCAATAACAGCTTCAGCTGTTGTGCAACATCATTGTGATCAGACTTATTAGAATGGAAGGGCAACTGAAGTGTTCTAGTTGTTGTTTGCATCCAATGTTGTGGGGGCAGCGGTAAAGCAGACGGTGATGGTGGTTCCGAAAATTTGCAACCCGCATAATGGCCCGCCAACAAACCAGGAGAAGTACGAGGACTAGATCTTAAACTACCCTGAGGTTCACCTGAAGGTACTCTAACAGGAGTCAGCTTATGTGGAAGAGGTTCACCTTTACCTGGAGAAGGCCTCTGCATGGGTGACCCTTGGTGAGTGCTTGGTACTTTCACTTTGGATGGATGCCTCGTTGCACGAAATTTCCCGTTGATGACAATTTTGCCACCTATGTGCTTTTTAGCCATAATAATCACAAAAGTTCGTAGTGTGAAATTGTAGTAAAACAGTAACACACTTCAATATAGTCTATTTCTATGTTGGTATACAACAGTATCAACAAAAATACTCTTAACTGTAGTATCACAGACCAAGATGATGAATTTTGCGCTTAAAAAGTGGAAAACAAACTATTTCAGGTACGGCGCAAATTTTGCTTTCACAAAATGGACGCGTCTGATAGATAAAAACAAAGGAATATAAACTTCACTATATGTGGCTAATTTCCTCTTCTTTCGATTCTTCCAGCACCGACATTTAATCACAACATAGTCACAAATAATGAAGCCTATCACTTCTCGCTTTTGAACGCAAAATATTAATAAAGTTACATTCAAGGAACGAAACTTATCATCTTGGCAAGATTAGCGTTTCTTTAGTGTTTTCGCTGTTTTCTGTTTTCTTTTCACTTCTCTTAGCGCTTACTCACTCATTTTTCACAACCCCACCACACTCAAATTCTATTTATTCAGTATTCTCCTACTCTGTGGTATGTATCCTGTATCAAAAATGTTGGCTGACAATAATGACGTCATTTTACGATTGTCGGGTATTACAAATATAATTGGCTTTCCATGAAATACAACTACAGTCATAGGAAAATCACATATTTTATCTATTTCGTGTTAATTATTTTAGCAAAAGCGGTTTAGATTTAGTACTACGTAGGATTAAATTTTTATATGGTACTATTCTTGGGTTTTCCTTAAAAAAAATTCTCGATTATAAATTATAAGTTAATAATTTTAAATTTGTTCGTTGCCGTCACGCAAATCCTTCAAGCAATATTTGTTTGGCATAAATGTTTTTAGTTTAATCTTAATAACATATCCTTCAAATTTTTTATTTTTAGAAATTAGAATTTAATTTTGTGCAACATATACAAATGTTGCCGAAATTCTGTCAAAGGTTGCAACTATCCTCTTTCTAATTTGTGGTTGCAACCAATAAGGAATACGCAGCTAATTTCTGGTTATAGTTTATCTACATATCATTGGCTAAAAACTACACAAACATACAAAGGTCCATTTTCTGCTATTTTCCTTGTTATTTGGTTGGTATCTGTAGGGTATTTCATGTTATTTTGTTACCAGTTTGCTAGTTATTTTTAATTAAAAAAATAATATTAAAAATAAACAAAGCTGATATTTGATAGTTATGTCGTGTACTATTAGCAGTTGCCTTTGTTTGTTATCATTTTGAGTTCATTTAACAATTCGGTATAGAAACAAGTGCATAAATGATTATACTTTTGGTTTCATACGCCTCCACTTTTATCTTTGTTTATTGTTAGTTTTGGTTGGTCCTGTATTTGTGGGAGGGTGTATGTAGCTGATTTCACAAGACTGTAGATCCTTAAGCTGAAGTTGTAATTTTGCATTAAAATTAGAAATATGTGCGGGTAGCATAAGCCTAGGATTCGTTTGCAGATTACTGTGATAATTTTCACAATAATTGTTCAGTATTCTGTGTGAGATGCTTCTATTGGATCAATAGTGTACAAAAGTAAAATTACTCATTCCTCTCTTGCTCAATAGTGATTGTGTATTAGTTATATGCTACAAGGTTGTTATGTTGTTTATTGAAGTACTTATTTTTAACTAATGTGCATTCTATTACAGGTATAATAATAATGAATTCAAATAACCACAATCAACCTCGTAGAAATTCTTCTAGTTTTAATCGACATGCTAATAATCATTCAAATCGTTCTAACCACCCCCATAATCACCAAAGGTGGCCAAGCAGATTTCCCAAAGATTTTAATAGAGAATATGAAAACAATTTTACAAGAGGGTAAGTCTAAATACCTAATTAGAAACCTACTTCTAAATACAACAAAATTTTTTAGTGAATGTTCGGTAGCACCTAATGGAAGCCCTAAAGAACCAAATTATGTACACAGTTATCCCAAGAATTCTCAGCTTAGTCCTGCTTTGAGAAGTAATCATATCCATTATAACAATGAGGCATCAGGTATATACTATTCTTAATTTTAACATATCTATAATTTTTTTTATGACAGTTTGACATATTGTTATTAATAATTTTGAGGAATACAAATCTTTGAAAATATAAATTATTAACTCATGAGAGCCTAGTTTTATGTACAAAGAAAATGTATTTATAATGTTTACAAAGTTATACCTTGTTTATGTGTCAAAATAATTTTTGAAGAAAAGCAGTGTATAAAAAGTCTGCTATTTGTATTTCTATCATTAACGTAAAAATACCTATCATTAATCCGGAGTTGTTCGTGCTAGACTAGTACTATTTTTACTTTTCACAGAATATTGATTATATTGAAATGTACAAGTACGAGTAATTTTAATTGTACACTATAAAGTGATATTGGTCAACTTTATAATATATAATTATTTTTATCTTTATAGAGGAAAACATGTTTCCTTATTTCTAGCACAATTTTCATTGTTACAAATTTTCTACATACAAATATATTTTCATAGATTTGAGTCATTAAAATATGAATTGGTAATGTTGATTAATCCTATAAAACTTTATCAAAGTATTATTAGATGTAAGTACCTATCCTAATTGCAACAGTGTTAAAGCGCTTATATTTAATTAAATATTTATTGTTTCTTAGATAATGTTTAAAAATTGATTTGCATTGCATGTTTTCTGTTACAGGCCTATATTTATAGGAACCTTTTTTACTTAAAATCTGTCGCCTTTAATTTAAAAAAAATTAAAATTAAAAATTTTTTACTACCAACTTAATGATATACAGTGTAGGAAAGTACCGATGGTCTATCAGAAGTTACGTGAGAGCGATAAAGTAAGCCATAGAAATCCATGTGATAGACAAGGATGGCTATAATGAAGGCGTCTAATAGTCAACGCCCATTTCGCCCTTCCACAAATAAGAAGTGGATCTTATTTGTGGAAGGGCGAAACGGGCGGTGACTATGAGAGGCCTTCATTATAGCCATCCTTCTCTATCGCATGGATTTCTATGGCTTACTTTATCGCTCTCACGTAACTTCAGATAGACCATCGGTTCTTTCCTACCCTGTATTGTTAATTAATAATGGGCTACAAAATTAACGAATATTAATCAATTGTTGACTCAAATTAAAACTAAATTTTGTCTATCATAAGTTTAGTCTAATCACTACTCAGGGTGTCTCAAAGATCAATCCAGTAGCCACAGACTCCTTGGATCAAAATAATATGATTTAGGTAAACTTACCTGTTTACAAGAATAATGCCTTTAAAAGAAAGAAAGTCAGGGTGTTAAAAAAGAATTTTTTAAACTTTTTCTCAACATCTTCTATGATTTTTGAGATATTAACTTCAAATGCTATTGCCACTGTTAAGTATTTAAGGGTTTGTGCAAATCGAAAAACAAGTGAAAGTAGTGGTTGCCACGAGTTATTACTCTCCCCAGTTATATTCAAATTATCATGTACATAATTTCTTTGTGATTATTTTACCTCTTAGAAATTTTATATTTATTGCATAGTTCTCCAGATAAATACAACTTTTTAAAAGATTGTATGTATGTCCTACATGCCACATTATGGTGTGCACAGGATTTAAGGGAAACTTAACTTGTAATTTGTGACCTAAAAAAGTTTTCAGTAAAATTTTGAAGGTTTAAAGCAAGGGTCGGCAACTGGCGGACTGCGGTCCAGGTTCGGACCGCGGAAGGTAAAATACTGGACCGCCAAAAATTTTTTGAAAGTATAAATTACTCAAATAAATTATTTAAAAAATGTTTTTTACGTTTAAGTGCCAATCTTATCATTTTTTCTAGTATTTTACAATTGTGTGTGTTTTGAGTTCTTAATTAGTAAGCAGATTAAATTTGAGTCCAAATTAAAATAAAAAAATAAGAAATATGAATTTTTTTTCTGGATCTCGTTAAAAATTTTCAAAAGTATACGTACCCCACCTAAAATTACTTGCCGACCCCTGGTTTAAAGCTTATACATATTTTTAACAACTAAAAAAACACTGAAAAAACGTTTCTAATAGTTTCCAACATAAATGTCATTAAACTAATTCTAAATAAATACAACTGATATGGTGTAAATGCATTATTAGTAGTAGTCTTGTACTAGTAATTTATACATTTTCTAACATTTTTGTTGTTATTATTACAAATTTCAACATTTATCCATTGACTAATTTATTATGAGGGAATTAAATTAATAAGTATCTAATATGCCCTACTCCTTCGTTGATGCACATGTGAACTATATTAGAGAAAGTCTTATGTTTTGAAAGACATCTTCTGTAAGTTACATAATTACTATACTATATTAAATACTATTAATTTCTTCAGCATTAACAACAGTTTTGATACTACCCCAGGAAGTGAATCCATTGGATTCAAATCTTGGGATCACGGTGGCCACTGAGTGGGAACATTTTGACCTCACCTGATCCAGGGATTTGGAAGTAATTTTTTATTCAAAATCTAACGCTAGGGTAAATGATGTTCCATCTCTTTATACAGTGTGTCCAATTAAATTGGCACCATATGGGATACTTTTTTATTATTGGTTTTATGAAAAAAAGTTATTCTTGATAAAAAGTTCTGCCTAAAACCCAAAATGAAACTCCGGCAGGAAGATGTTTTTCAAAACAAAAAAATTTTTTCAAATGAAAAGTGCGTCGAAGGAGTGTAATTTCATTATTTATCTAAAATTTTAATCTCTATTGGGCAAGCCTTTTAATTATTTATTTAAATCAAGGTAAATAGGTATTTAGTTAATTATTTTATTTATATTAATTCTTTTTTCATTTTATTTATGCAAAAACGGTAATTATCTGTAAAGGACCCCGCCCAAACCTTATGGAAAATGGCTTTTGGTCAAAATGGCTGAAATTGATATATGATATAGCTCTCACCTTCCTGAGCAAAAGTTGTCATGGGCCCAAAGTGATCCTATGTGTAGGTTTAAAGATATAGAGCTTTGAAGCTAACGATTTCATAGCACGGTGCTGAAGTGCAGGATAGGTGTATGTATATCTCCCTTTCTCCGTATATACAGGGACAGGGTGAGTCAGTTTTTTGTAGACAAACTTTAACAGGAGATAGAACACATGTTTTTAGTTCCTATAAACATATGTCGTAGAAGGCTTCGTTTCCGAGATACAGGGTGTTGAATATAATTTTTTTTCTCGAATTTTCATTATAACATAAACGAATGCTTAGATTTTTTTCATGTTTGGGGGATAATGCCTATTAATTAAGGGGCATAAAACAATCGATAAGAATGTTCAAAAACTTGCACAGTGGCGGAGTGGAGGGGGTGCTCAACCCCTTTCTTAAACAGAACTTCTACGCCAATGACTATTTTTTAAAAAAACTGTTATTTTCATTATCTACATATAGTTTAAAAAAAATAATGTCCCTTCTGTTTCGGAATTCCTGCGCGTTTCCCTGTTATTTTGATTTTTAGTGTTTGATGTGGTACTAAATTAATTTATTAATTATCAATTATCGGTTAGATATTTAATTCTTTCAACGAAACCTACCGAAATATGGTTTGTTAAGGATTCTAATAAGCCGAAATCTCTTATTCTTTATCTCTTTCCAATGTAGTCAAAATAAATGTTTGTTATATCAAGCCATACTCAAATACAAGACTTTTATAAGTTGAAATCTGTTTAATACGCTAATTTTATCAATCCTTATTTATTATGTGCAGCGTAAATACTAATGTACTGCAACTAAATTACAAAAAAAAACATTGAATGAACATTGATGTTAATGTTTATGGAGAAATTTTTTGAATTTATAACAATATTTAATTAACAACTTCTTAAAACTTTTTGGCAACTGCACAATAATGTATTGTATGTATGCAATGTAACAGATTTCAACTTATAAAAGTCTTGTATTTGAGTATAGCTTGATATAACAAATATTTATTTTGACTGCATTGGAAAGAGATATAGAATAAGAGATTTCGGCCTTTTAAAATCCTTAAAAAACCATATTTATGTAGGTTTCGTTGAAAGAATTAAATATTTAGCCGATAATTGATAATAAATAAATTACTTAATTTAGTACCACAACAAACACTAAAAATCAAAATAACTCGGAAACGCACAGGAATTTCGAGACAGAAGGATGGACATAATAAATAAGGATTGATAAAATTAGCGTATTAAACAGATTTCAACTTATAAAAGTCTTGTATTTGAGTATGGCTTGATATAACAAACATTTATTTTGACTACATTGGAAAGAGATAAAGAATAAGAGATTTCGGCTTATTAGAATCCTTAACAAACCATATTTCGGTAGGTTTCGTTGAAAGAATTAAATATCTAACCGATAATTGATAATTAATAAATTAATTTAGTACCACATCAAACACTAAAAATCAAAATAACAGGGAAACGCGCAGGAATTCCGAAACAGAAGGGACATTATTTTTTTTAAACTATATGTAGATAATGAAAATAACAGTTTTTTTAAAAAATAGTCATTGGCGTAGAAGTTCTGTTTAAGAAAGGGGTTGAGCATTCCCTCCACTCCAACACTGTGCAAGTTTTTGAACATTTTAATCGCTTGTTTTATGCTCCTTAATTAATAGGCATTATCTCCCAAACATGAAAAAAATCTAAGCATTCGTTTATAAGTTATAATGAATATTCGAGAAAAAAAAATTATATTCGACAACCCGTATCTCGGAAACGAAGCCTTCTACGACATATGTTTATAGGAACTTTTCTTTTTAAAAACATGTGTTCTATCTCCTGTTAAAGTTTGTTTACAAAAAACTGACTCACCCTGTATATACGGAGAAAGGGAGACATACATACACCTATCCTTCACTTCAGCACCGTGCTATGAAATCGTCAGCTTCAAAGCTCTATATCTTTAAATCTACACATAGGATTGCTTTGGGCCCATGACAATTTTTGCTCAGGAAGGTGAGAGCTATATTTTCCATAAGGTTTGTTCGGGGTCCTTTCTCATTTGTCTATTAAATTTTATCTTAAGTTATACTCACTCGAATTGTAATGTTGCTTGTAAAAAATAATAGTTTATTAATTGTGAAGTATTATCGATCAACATTTAGCCTCCGCATACAAACCGACCATGAACCACCACTTGTGATGGTATTTGTATATTTTATAAAATAATGTAAAAGCCAATATTTGATTATTTGTGTTTGTTATGCTTAATTCTACTTTTCTCTGGATGTTTGCTCTATTCCTTTGGCATATCTTTTTCCCCAGTCACATTATAACTGATAAATGCATTCTTGTATGATGAAAGTATGTGTGCTATATTCATAATTATAATTTGTTTATATGTGGAGTTTTCTTCAGTTATCTCATAAGACATTATATTATTCTTGCAGAAGTGCTTTATCATTATTTCATTACTACAGTAAATAACAATATATTTTCCACCATTTTTTCAATTTTCTTTTGACCACTAAAAAAATATTTATATTTATAGTCTTATATTTTCTACTTTAATAGTCTTAATTTTTTTAATACGATGAGGAGAATATTGTTTCTTAATTTTATGAATAAAAAGCACTAATAAAATGGTAGTGTTTAAATGGGTATGTCATCAGAATGAGATTCAAAATGAAAATTTTGTTTTTTAAGTCTAATATTGAAGGCTATGTATAATAAAATTTGAGAAGTTAACAATGAACTTCTGAATTAAAAAAAAAAAATTGTGTTCTTAGCGATCTCTATATTTATGTAGAAAAGAAGTCTACCTAAAAAATTCCCATGTACCAGTTACATTGAAATATCTTAAGTGAATGACATCATCCAAAAATTAAATAAAAAAGTTCTTTGGAGATCTGTAACTGTTGAAGAAAGTAGAATTATACTAAGGTAGCTATCCTTAATGCGTGGCCCATTCATTTTCAAATTTTCTGTGTAAGTATTGCTTCAAAATTCAATTTTTGATTAATTACTTTTTGTAGTAATTGTATTTAAATATTTATTGGGTGTTTCTGGTGGACTGGAATTGGACTGATTTGACTTTCTTTTCTGTAGACTGGACCTTTCTATAACGAATAGAAGGGTTCGGGACATTCAACGCTTACGGAAGTGGCAATGAGGAGGAAAATTATACACCTCCACATTTTAACTATTTTTAGAAGGCTCTCAATGTTATAAGGATATTTTGCGTGAACATTAAGTTTACCAAGGTATGTAAGGTAGTGTGTGTATGTGTAAGAAAGGCAAAGCAGTATATGGTTTTCAAAGAGAATTCTTATCGACATATCCTTATTAAGGATATGTAGTGGCTGTAATGTTTTCGGTGATTTTTAGCTGTTTTCTGATTCTGGGAATAGAGTGGTACCTTTTATCACTTTGAAGCTACAAGACAAAATTAACATAACCCTATACCTTTCTTTTTCCACTAAATATAAAATGTTTATATAAATACATAAATAAATTCCTTTATATACCAATGATGAGCTATTTAGGTCCAATTTCCAAAATATACAGTATCATTGAAATTCTACAGTTCTTAATGGTGGTGTTTTCCTGTTATATAATATGTATAGTAGAACCTTTTTAAGATTGCCATTACGTCATGCGTGTGCCATAATATCAAAGACATTCGTTGCGGACGTGTATTCATTATTAAACGTGCTAAAAAGAGATACAATGATGGTATAAATGTCTTCATAGTCTCAATCTATCACAAACAACCGTTCCAATATTTTATGTGTATTAGAGTGGAAGAAAATGGAGGACATTTGTTGGGTATTAATTTTAGACTATAGCTTGACTAGCGCATTTAAAAACAGAACTGACACTCAGATTAAAAATTTAACAGTTGTTTTGATCGCGTCTCCCTACTAACTTTTATATATATTTTCTGAGTGTTGAAATATCGATTTTTTTGGCATATTTTCATATCCAGTAACACCAGTATTAAAATTTGCCAGAAATACAGATTTGAGAATTGTCAAGATGACATTTCAATTATGTGAAAACAGTGACTAATTTGACTAGGATTTTTCATCTTAGTTCATACGAATATTGCTTGTGACGCAATGGAAAAGATACAGCGGTTTTAGAATATATATGCTTCTTGATGAGAGATTTGTGTAACAACCCAATAAATTTTTGCCAATAATTAGTCATTAGCCCAAACATCAACTGATATTTCAAGCTTATTTGAATTAGAGATTTCATTTCCCTAGATTATATCTATAATTCTATGAAAACAATGTTTTATAGAAGTAGCAATTAATCTGGTTTAGAAAATCTGCATGTAACATTTTTGTGTTGATCATAGGTACCTTTCATTAGTAAAACCTATAATCAAATGAATTTTTCAATAAATCATACCAGGTTCTCTGTGTTAGACATACCGTATAACAAAAGGAAATAATGTATGTAGAAGAAAAACAAATAAGTTTTGTGAAAAAAAAGACATATAAATTTTATTTTATGCCCTCTTATATTCTTTATCTTTCTATGGAGGAGAAAGTGGTGAAGACCAATATTTTAGAAAATGTCTTGTGATGTTAAAGAAATATTTCAAAAATAGTTTGGTTTATTTACAGACCATAATGGATAAAGTCAAGATTGAAATCAGTGGAATCTGTGCATATTTATACTACCTATATTGCTATAACATATTTTTAAATATTTTATTAAGAAAATAATAGTATACAGTGTAAACAGTTTTATGATATGCATTTATATGACCTAAGGGAGAAAATATTGAATGAAGTTAGTACTATCAATAATATGGAAGAAGAAAAATAAGAAGTATAGAATAACATTTTTTATGATGAGGTCCTTCTCCTTAATACAGAATTTAAAGATTTGTTTAACAAATTTACTGAAAACATCTCCAAACAGTGCTTCCATGAGAATGTTGTTTATGTGCTGTATTCGTAAATTAACCAAAATATTGTGCAAACTATCAAGCAGATATATGAAATGTATATTTCTTTATAATCAAAAATAGGAGGGGAATCCAAAAAACAACAAATATATTTAAAAAAACAAATGTCTGGTTTATATCTTATGCATGCCAATTATTTTATATATTTCTTTGAAATCACAAGAAAATTTTTTAAATTTTTATCTATATCATTATTTTCTAGATAGAAAGGTAAAAGATAAGAGGGGTTGAATATTTATATGAAAGATTTTGTACATACGATTGCTGTTTGAGTACAGTAAATGAAGTATATTATCTACCGTGGATGAATTCATTTCAGGGATTTGGTTGCCGCAATAGAATCCTTGAAATTTTTCTTATCAGATTATGCAATTTCTGTCCCGGCTGTTGGTCATGGCTGTTGTTAGTAAAACCGTTGAAACTACTATTAAAGCTATACAGCAATTTACTTTTAAATTTTCATCCATTGCAATGTTTTGCTTGAATAAAAAATAATTCTTTATAAGATACATACAAGAAATTGTACCTACATGTTAAACAATGTACAGTTGGTAACACTACTACAAACTAAATAAAATGCAGCAATTCTGTCCCATTGTGTGATAGAAAGCATGCAATTTTATCCCCACAATTTTGTCGCCTCAACAAAATTGCATTGTCAGATACAGGCTTAAGTCTATCGATGGTGATTGGTGAAAATTAAATTTGCCTTATTCTGACCATGTGTATTAGTCAATCCGTTTTTTACGGATTGATTTCAATGCCCTCATGGACAACTTTCATGGTTAAAAAATGTCAAACGAAATTTGCAAAATATAAAATTTTAATAAAGACAGCTTCCCCACAGATCTGGAAAAGGGTTGCCACGTATGTATGGAAAATATTTTTTTCATAATCAGCTGATAGTTACGAATAGATGTTTTTCAATTTTGACAAAATTTTAATTTTTCTTGTTATAGCATTATGAATTTAAAAAAATAAAATGTTTATATCGAATTTAAATTGGTAAGAATAAAATTTAATTTTGAGAGATAAAAAAAACGATTATGTCTATCTGTTGATTACAAAAAATAATAATTTTCACATATATGTGCAAGGGTTGCACTCGAGATCTTAGGAGAGGTTATTCTTATTTAAATTTAAATTTTTATTTCGCAAATTTCTGTAGGAATCCTCTGGTCATGAAAATCTCTAAAATAGCATAGAAATCATCCTAATTTCTTCATCCTCAAATTTTCTTCAGCAACCATTTTAATGGACTTAGTAATATTTATTTATAATATATTTTAGAAATAAGAAGAAAAGTCTAATTTCTCACAATCCATGTATTTTTTTTAAAAACAATAGACAATAGAATATTTATTTAATTCTGATGAAGTTGGGGATTGCTATAAAAAAATAATTATAATGTCAGCTTAAAAACAATTAACAAAATTATTATTCTCGGCATTTTGGCATATTTTGCAAAACTTTTTAAGTTTTGTCCTCTACTTGAAATTCTTGGCATTGTTGTACCATATACAGGGTGTCCAGGAAATGATGGGCAATCTTTCTGATTTTGGTAGGACTTGCAAAAATAATGCCACAAGTTTATATATTTTTTTATATTCAAGCTGAATCTGTGGTGTTATTAGATCTTGAGGTTGGGAGTTGAAATTGATAAACATTTTTTTATGAGAAACGAAAAATCGGTTTTCTCTCTCAACCTCAACAGCTAATAACTACAGGGCGAGTCCAAATAAAAACATTATATAAACTTCTCATGGTTTTTTTAGTCATATCGGAATCTTAGATATTGACCACCATGAATAATAAAAAAATACAACTATTCGCCATACAGTCGTTTTTTGTTTGATAATTTATTAATTCATGCATTTTTAATAAAATTTTTATAAATTGTCCAGTTATTTATATTACTCTTTAAATATTGTATAAAATTATTGACAATTTTAATTTATTATTTAATTTTTCCAGGACATATTGTAATTTGTATTGTTATACAATTAATTTCAGGACACCAGCATCCAGATAGAAGACATATCCCTTTAACCAATCCTCCAGAGAGAAGGCACACCATTAGTCAGAACTATCACAATGGCAGTGACCGTAGACATTTACCAAATTTGGCTGATAGACGACATATTTCTCCCCCCCTTCACATAAATATTTGCGACAATTCCAGTAATCTTATGACTAATGCAGCATCAGAGGGTATGCATCAAAGGAATATAATAGATTTCTCTCACTCTCAAAGGAGGCATGGCAGAGGTAGGGCTTACGTTTTAATTTCCTTTACTTTGATTTTTTTTTAGCTAGGTACTTGTACTTCCAGAGATCCAAAGTAGTGGGCTCATAAATAAATCAAACTACAGTTTTACGTATCGTTAATCTGATAAAATTATTTTGTGTATTCTCTGTATAGTAATTGTAATGTGTGTACTCTCGGTATAGAAAATGTAATGTGCTGTTCATTTCGCATAGTTTACCATGTGTGTTCAGCCTGTGTGCTCGAGCGCATTATCGGAACGTTCTATTGTTACAAGGGCCCATTACTATTTTTGCTTATCATGTATAAAGATAGAGACGACCAACACTGCATAGTTCCATTTTTTGGTTTCTCAATTTGTAACTTAGGCATTTTCTTTCATGTCACATGGGTGGATGTAGGAACAACATTATTTTCACTTTTAGTTATTCCAGTGTATTTTTAAAAATGCAATCATGTGTGAGTATTAATGGTCAATCTGTTAATAATCAGGATAGTTGTAAACAAGTGAATTTAACATCACAAGAACTTTGATAAATGATGTTTATCAGAGAATTTGAGTATTTGAGAATTGGATATGTTGGTGAGTGATGCTGTGGACACTTCTTTAACGAAAGTGTCTGTCAGAAGTATTTATCATGTGTTAAAAAGTTGTTAAAAGTGTAAAAAAAGCAACAGTATGGCAAAGAAAATATAATAGTGTTGTGCAAGAAAAATCTATTACCTCAACGAAATATAGATAAATGAAGGACAAGCAGTCTTTAAGATTTGACAAGATTTTTGAAAGGTTTTTCTACAGAATTAATGGCATCCGCACAGAAAGTATAGTTATGATATATATTGGAAGTGAATGCATATTCTTGTATATGGTTTATATGTATTTGAGTTGCGATGAACAGCAAATTACCATAGATGTATCTAAAAAGTGGTTTGCATCTATTTCGCCTCACATCGAATATGATGCATTGATTATCATAAATAATGCACTCAACCATACTTGACGAATAGATAAATTACCAATATCTGCATGGAGAAAAGGAGAAAGGATTGTGTGGGGGGTTTCCCAGCATATTTACTTTGAACAGACCGCTGTCTGCTTATTTCACCAAAAAAAAAAATGAGTACTGGATTTTATAATTTTTATTGTGATAAAGAATCTCAATATTTGAGCTGCTATTCTCCCAGGCTTGTTAGGCAAGATGGTCTGGCATAGATTTAGGTGGGAGAACTGCTGTCGCCCAGTGTACAATGGATCATATAAACATTAAACATATAAACAAATTACATTCTACATTATCAATCTCAACATATTAGATGTGTTGAATAGAAAACATTGAATATAAAGACACAATATTATAAGTGCAATTATTAGTAATTGCACAAGAAAACTAAATACATGAAATATGTAGTTGATAAAATAGCTAACACTTGGGGTATTACAGTTGCCACCATACCGTTGTGAACTGAATTAATCTGGGTGGATTTAAAAACTTATGTGGCACAAAATAACACAAACTATTAAATTAGAATTTTGAAGGTGATTTAAATATGGAGATATATAATAAGTGCATTGCATTATGCATGTATAAAAATAATGTGAGATGCAAAAGGTGAAATCACAATAGAACCACTTATTACACCTTTAGCAGTTATAGCGTTACTGACAGTGATAGTGACAGTGACTACAGTAATTAGTGATATTACTAATGCTTATAATGGGCATTTCTAGTATCTTATCAGTGGTGCATCTTATGTTTCAGTGATGCTTGTACTTTTAATGGTTTTTAGTGGTTTTACTGATTTTGTGTCGCCTTACTATGTCTACTTAGATATAGACTTAGACTTAGCGAAAGTTCTGGTACATCCCATAATAAAAAAAAGAGAGAAAGGTATACACGGATGATAGTAAGCCACCCTTATCTAGACAGCAGTACACATTTTATTAGAAGAAATAAAAAAGTACCTACCTTGTAGTAATGTGTCGTTCATGAACTATCCGTTCATAATGACCAAATTGTCTAAGAGACCCGTGATTGACCCGTTCACGTTGTGTGACCCTATCATTCATCATTCATTTGAGCACAATCTCAGTGCCTGCAGATCTGAATTGGAGAGTTGGTGCTGATACAGAATGGAAGCCACGAAAGATTGACTCTATGATTTATTAGGTATCGGTACTCTTAGTCCACAGTACAGGGCCCCTCTGGAAAATTGATTACCACATAATTTATAACTCCTGAGGAGCTTCGTTTTGACGAGTCTACCACATTTTTCCTCTGCAACTTTTTTCGATTCTTCCGCTTTTCCACTCGGAAAAGTCCAAAAACATGGCAATTTCCCGGGGTATTGAAAACTCAAGACCACATCTTTTATTTTTAGCTTAAGTAACTGGAAATTTTGTTGCAAATGCCGATTTAAATTTGTCCGACAGAAATTCTTCTGACATTGAGGTGTCTACCGGTCGAAACATACCAAAATAACAGGGTATTGAAAATTATCCAAATATCCAATATACCAAGGTTATTGTGACTTTCTAGGAAATTTAATTTGTTGAGTTCCTCATCTATTACAACGGATACAGCCTGGGGTAATATTTTGTCTTTGATTCTCTCGCGAAATTTTTCGCCGATGGCATCCTTGTCTTCCTTTTCAAGCCCCAGTTCTTTTTTAATAACCTAAAAGAGGTTTCATTTTCAATTTATAACGATGATCTAGTTTCAATCAAAATTGACTTATCTGTTTGCTGTACTATATTTAATAATTTCTCTAAAGTGATATGGCCATCAGAATCTCATTCCCCATGCGCCTTATCAGTCACACAGATCTACATGTCGAGACTGCTCACTGCCTATAGTTTTTAGATCCTATAAACAGTCGTTTTTCTAAATATAATCAAACAACAATACTAGACTATTTTCTTAGGATTACTGTGATAAGCTACAAATACATATTCCGCTCATATTATTTGTTTGAATAAACCGTTAATAAAAGGGTTATTTTGTGATTGTACTCTACTTTTATAGATGTCAGAGTAAGTCCCATACACTTCCAGCAGCACTCCCCTCCGTTGTTCTATAGACAGACCAGCGATGAAAGTATCAAAAGTGAAAGTCCGTCCAGAAAACGTAGACGTTTGTCCCGATCTGGCCACCACATTGAACTCAACTCCCAACCCGCCTCACCTCCACGTAGATCTCCAAGGCAGCATCCACCTTCCACCTCACATCACTCTATGCAGGTAAGTATGTGGCGCTAGCAGGTATAGTATGTCACATGTTTTTTAAAGCCACATATTACTCATTATAATACGCGTAGGGTGAGGTTGCATAAATCGTGTCGTTTATCAGTATTTAATTTTAGCCAAATAGCAAACTAAAGCTTAAAGATTGTAACAATATGGAGTAAGATTTTGGCTACGAAATTATTGTTTGTTTAATATTTCGAATTAACGTTTTTTAAAAGTCTTAGAAATGGTACTATTTTCGTAAATCGTACCTGCATTTTCCTAAATTGTACCTTGTCACCAAAATCATACTACAATGCTGTTTCAATGATTTTTCAAAGTTTTTAATGCTAAAATTTCGAGAATTTTTTGGGAAACCCGATGCATTAAAAAGTGTCAATACTATCTCTGTATTTTTGTTATATTGCTATAAGATTTATGCATTTCCCAAGACATATCGATATCGATCACCCTGTACCCTTTTAAGAGAAGGTACGATTATGATAACTTTGCCCTAATAGCTCAATTTCTAATTGCTCATAATACTACAGGGTAGCCCACCATTAAGAAGACCACGCTACAGGGATAGGAATGATTTTCCCCATGCTCATCACCAGACGTTCCTTCCTAGTCCCCCACCAGTCGCGCACGCTCATCCTCATCCCCATCAATCCACTGTTATGATGGACATTAATCAGGTAAAATCAAACAGAAAATATTGGAATTTGAAGAAATAACTTTGTATATCTTCCAGGTACCAGTCACAATTCCAATGAATCACGAAGCGGTCTGGAGCTACACCCCTTCGCCGCACATTTCCCTGTGCACTGCTCCTCCTGGAGCCCCCCCTCATTTGCACAGCTGTCATGTACATAATATGTATGCGGGGCCTCAGTTAGTGCCCCAGCAGTTCCCCGGATGTCTTCCCCACCAGAACTACGGAGCTTTCCCTACAACTCCCAGCGCTCTCTCGGTGTCTAATCAGCATTATCCTCACCAACATCTCCCTCCCCAGGTGAGTAAAATATTTTTCGTGGCGGTATAAAGTTCGGAAAAAATTTGGCTGTCTTATTTGTGATATTTGAATAAACATTTCAGATAACAATTTTCTATTTTGATCGAGCTTTCTTATTTTGCATATTACAATTTAGTAAGGTTTTTACTTTGTTAAAAAACAGTTCAGCTATTAGGTTTTAAGACTGATTTTATTGTGAGGATGTGAGTGGCGCTCTCTATGTGTGGTCAATGGAACCAGGTAGTGTGCACTCTCAAACTTAATAAGTAATATAAAATTTTTTCTTATTTTGAAAATAATAAATCGAAATAAATACATTTTACTATTTTACATGAAGTTAGAAAAAGATATACGTATATGATTAACTGTAGTTACTCTATAATTGCCAATGGTTCATTTGACTGCGAAACATTGCAAATAATCTTTTTTTACAGTGGCAATTTTTCGATTTTAATTTATTTTTCAATTGGGTCAACTATATTCTAAATAACTTTTCTTAACAGCGTTTTAACAAATTTTATAAAATACGACTTATGATTAATTTTTTATATTTTTTATCCTGCCCTAAACGAGGGGGGACCCAAAAATAACCGGAATTTCTTTGTAGAAAGCATTTACTTTATTGTTTTTCAAATACAACCTTAATCTCCTTTAAAGTACTCTCCATTAGCATTAATGCACTTGTCCAAACCTGCTGGGAACGTTGTCGTGATGCAGGAACCACTCGCCGGAATTCCACAGCCGGACGTTTTTGCGCCAAAACTGCACAGCCTTTTCATAACCTCCAAATAGAATTGTTGGTTTACTGTCTGGTTTTGAGGGACAAATTCTGAGTGTACGATCCCTTTGATGTAAAAAAAACAGATCAACGTTGTCTTCACATTCGATTTCACCTGACAAGCTTTTTTTGGACGAGATGAGCCAGTTGACTTCCATTGACTTGACTGTTGTTTACTTTCTGGATCGTACCCATAGCACTTTGTTGAAAAAAATTGGATCGTCTTTGAATGCGTCCTTCATTTCATGACAGGCTTGAACGCGACGATTCCTTTGATCTCCGGTGAGAAGTCTCGGCACAAACTTTGCTGCCAATCTTCGCATCCTCAAATCACCATTCAAAATTCACTGAATTGAGCTCCAGGACAATCCGGATAACTCTTCGAGTTGGTTGATTGTCCTACGTCGATCTTCATTGATTAGATTACGGATTTTGCCGATGTTGTCCTCGCTTCGATAAGTTGAAGGGCGACCGGAACGGGGCTGATCTTCAATGGCCATTTCACCCTTTCTAAACCGCGAAAACCATTCGTACACTTGAGTGTAGCATGTTCTTTGTAAGCTGTTTGCATCATCACAACAGTTTCCGCTGCGTTCTTGCCGAGTAAAAATCAAAACTTCACAGCCACACGTTGTTCGTAAGAATTAGCCAATTTTTTGTGTCACGTCTGCCCTGCACACACACACACACACACACACACACACACACAGAACTGCCAGAGAAGCCACACTAGTTGCTGTCGGGTGACGCTGCTTGGCGGAATGACTCAGGAGAGGTCCTACAACTGCCTCTGGCGGCACAACCTGGTACTATCAGTACACGAAGCGCAGCATTACGATTCCGGTTATTTTTGGGATAGTTATCAAAAATGCATCAATTTTGGCAATGTCCAAAATTTTTATTTGCAAATAATACAAAAATTTATTTAAAAAATTTTTGTTTTGGTAATAAAACAATAAAATTAAATTAAAAAATTAACTAAACATGAAACTTTTCTTTTGAAAAAACCAGTTTACTGCATTTCATTACATAAAACACAAAATAAATAAAGAAAACTAACACATTTCCTAACTAAATGAGAAATTTCTGAACTAGATTGTCATTGCCTTGCTCATAGACCACTTTTTCTTAGGTCATTCAACTGTCAAACGTTTTTAAATAATATTTACAAAAATTTTTATTACATACTCGAGGGTTACCTTTTATATTTCGGGATTGGACGATCCTGGTACTGCCATCTGACAACCGACGTCTTTATAATAAAGTTTGACTTTTTGACAGTATATTTACTCAGAATGTTTTGACAAACAGGCGCTATTTGTGTTGTTACAGTGACTTTATCTTATGGAATTAACTCGTAAACATTTCCGTGCGATTATTTTTTAAAACTTTTGACGTGGATCATCTCAACAACGATGAACTTAATTTGACTTTTGGTGACGCACCATCAAAAACCACTGTATATTGGTAGTATACAGAATTCAATCGTGGCCATGATTTGCTCACTGACGAATTTCGTGAAGATGGTTGAACGATAATTTTCATAATAGTGAATTAATTAACACAAATCACTATGATGTTTTTCGTTCTGATCGTGATTCTATTCATACTAACACTAGTAGAGGTAGGGGTGTCTTATTGGCTATTGCTAAGCATTTTAATGCTTGCAAATTTGATCATAAGCTGCATTACGAAATATTTCAGGATCTCTTCTCTATTGATATTATTTCTATAACAGTTAACATTACGAAAAATCGCAATTTGTTTATATTTGTAATCTACGTACCTCCTAAAATAACAACGGATACTTACGAAAAGCTATTTTTTGCTTTTGAATCTATGTACGTGATATATGACTCCGATATTGTTGTGGTGGGCAACTTTAATTTGCCTAATTATATTAATAATACCACTCTTACTGAACAATCTCCACTTCATTTACTAAATAATTTTATAAACTTTTATGACTTCCATCAATACAACAATATTCTAAATCACAATAACAGGATTCTTGACCTCGTTCTCTCTAATGTCAGATGTTCCGTTTTCCACTCTTCTGACGTGTTGTTGCCGGAGGATCCTCATCATCCGGCTTTACTAATAGACTTCTTTGTTCCCAGTAATGTCAAGAGAATAAGAACACAACTAAGCTCAAATATTAATTTTAGGAAAGCGAACTTCCCTGCCTTGTATCACGAACTTACTTTGACTGACTGGTCCTTCATGGAAAAAATCACATCTGTCAACGATATTGTTTCTCAGTTTTATGAAACCTTAAACTGCATTCTTCTGAAATATGTTCCCAAAAAGATACCTTCAAAAAGATCCTACCCAACCTGGTTTAACAGAGACCTAATTGTTGCCATTAATGAAAAAGCGAGGGCATGGAAGAAGTACCGTTCCACTTCAAATGCTGAGGATCATATAAATTTCCAACGTTTGCGATCAGCTGTAAAAAGCAAAAGTAAACTGGTCTACAACACATATATCGCTGATATTGAACATCAATTAAAACACAGTCCAAATAAATTCTGGACTTTTGTTAACGCTAAGAAAGTTAATGCAACTATTCCAAATATTATGACATACGACAACATGTCGTTAAATGATACTAAACAAATTGCCAATTCTTTTGCTGACTACTTTGCTTCCTCATTCGTAAACAGGGACAATAGTGATCCTTTGAGAAGCACCAATTTTAATATTAATACCAATGCTCTTTCGGATGTAATTTTCTCATACAACGATGTACTTAATTCCATAAAAAAACTAAAACCTAAAATGACCATGGGTCCCGATCTCATACCTGCCTTTCTTATCAAAGATTGTGCTACTGTGTTTGCCAAGCCTCTTCTTATAATATTCAACCGAATACTGTCCACTCATACATTTCCCGATCGTTGGAAAACTTCGAAAATCTGTCCCGTATATAAAAAAGATAACAGGAATGACATAAAAAATTATAGACCAATTGCAATACTATGTAATTTCGGCAAAATTTTTGAAATAGCCCTACATAATATTTTGTCATTTCACCTTAGAAATATTATGCTACCAGAGCAGCATGGTTTTGCTGAAGGGCTTTCCACGGTTACCAATTTGGCGTGTATGGCGCAGTATATCCATGAGGTGATTGATAGGGGAGGTCAGGTGGATGTCTTGTACACGGATTTTTCAAAGGCTTTCGACCGTCTTGAGCACGGTTGTCGAAACTAGATTCCACGGGGTTGGGTTCTTCATTGTTGGAGCTCATGGCCTCTTACTTATCTGACAGAACTCAGTTTGTCCAGATTATGGGAGAAAGGTCATTGGGATTTGCTCAATCCTCAGGGGTTCCACAAGGTTCTGTCCTGGGGCCCTTGTTGTTTACGATTTTTATTAATGATATAGCATTGGATCTGGATGTGCGTTTCCTATTATATGCGGATGATATGAAGATATTTTGTCCCATAGCCAATGAACGTGATGCACGTAATCTGCAGAGAAATTTGGATTTGGTAAACTCCTGGTGCGCTGACAATAGATTACCTCTTACTGTGGCAAAATGCAATGTCATGTCCTTCAGTCGGCAGTTGAGGCAAATTTCGTATGACTACCGATTACACGGGTCCAGCCTAGATCGGCCAAACGTTATTAAAGACCTAGGAGTCTATTTCGATCCAAAACTTTCTTTCAGGCAGCATATGGATTTTATAGTTAAATGTGCCTACAAGAACCTGGGTTTTGTCGTGCGGAATATGGCGGGTTTTCGGAATCCTAACACTTTTAAACTGCTATACGATGCACTGGTCAGATCTAGACTGGAGTATGCGTCTTTGGTTTGGACTCCTATTTATTCTATTCATGTGTCATGCTTAGAAAGAGTTCAACGTCGATTTTTTACACTAGCGGTGTTCGCGCTTGATGGTCATTACCCGCCGAGGGGCTTTCCGCAGGAGGTATTTTTCGAACGCTTCAACATGTGCAGTCTCGCAGAACGCCGAAAAATGTATTCTGTTATATTTTTGTTTAAATTGCTCAATAATTTAATAAAATGTGAGAACTTGTTGAGGCTAGTAGATTTTCATGTTCCTCGAGTGAATGCTAGAAATAGGCATCTTTTGGAATTAAAAAAAGGTCGAACCAATTTGTACAAAGCAGCGCCTGTTCATCAGATGTGTGCCAGCTACCTAGAAGTTGAATCACGGTTAGATTTATTCTGTTCTACCATCAGTTGTATTAAGCAGGTTTATAATGTACGCAACTGATTTTATTTTGTGACTTTTATTGTACTTTAGTTTTGTCTATTGTCTGTTTTTAATTAGTGACTGTTATTTTTTTTTCTTTTTAATGTTTTTTAACTTTTATGTATGTAGTGTATTTTATGTGTCTTCTCCTTATCCTGTGACTGGGCTTTATCGCTCGTTGGATATTGTATTGATAAATAAATAAATAAAAATAAAATAAATAAAAAGATTGTCCAAAATTGATTGTTGTTCAAAAAAATCATTGAACTGATATTATAAGATCCTCATGTGACTTATCGTGAGAAGGTGACATCCTTGGGCATTAGTCGGACCAGCATACATTCAATATTGCACAAACATTTGGCTGCCAAAAAGATTTACTCGCATTGGATCCCACATAATTTGTCAAACGCTCAAAAAAAAAAAGGCTCGTGTCGATTGGTTGAAAAAAATGCTCAAGTAATATGATCGCTGTGCTTCAAAACACATCTATGACATTATAACAGGTGACGAATCATGGATGTATGCGTATGAGCCCGAAAGTGAACAGCAGTCGACTGTATGGATCTTTCAAGATGAACCAAGTGCAACAAAAGTTGTTCGTGCACAAAGCACTTCTAAGCAAATGTTCTGTGTTTTCGGAAAATCCGGACATGTTGTAACTGTACCATTAGTACAATGTTGGACAGTAAATACTGAATGGTACACAGCCCTTTATTTGCCAAAAGTCTTCAGAAAAATAAGGGAAACCAACTGCCAAAGACGCATCATTCTCCACCAGGACAAAGCGAGCTGTCACACATTGGTTCAAACAAGACTTTGAGAACTGAAAAAGTCGAATTTATGAGTCATCCGACGTACAGCCCTTATTTGGCACCTAGTGACTTTTTTCCTGCACATCAAAAATAAATTACGAGGTCAACGTTTTTCGACACCTGAAAAAGCGGTTGATGCCTTCAAAATGTATGTTTTGGAAGTACCTCAAACAGAATGAAAAAGTGCTTCAAAAATTGATTCAAGTGCATGCAAAAGTGTATTGATCTTCATGGAGAATATTTTGTTTTTATTTCCTATTTCCGAAATATAAAAGGCAACCCTCGTACTGGTATAACTTAGCCCATTGTCTTGATCATTTTATTGAGACCAAATTTGGTAAATGTAGAATGAGTTTGGTAGAATATACACACTGGTGATATTTAGAGATGTGATGTTAGAAAAGTCCATTTTTTATTTCAAAATCATTGCCTGCTTATAATAAATGAAAGAATTTAGTGCTATAGTAAGTAAGACCAGAATATATGCAAGGTATTTTTTAATTTCAGAGACCAGATAGTCTCGATTTGGAGTTGCTCAGTGAACACCATGGCCACTCTCATTCAGCTTTGCACGGAGCTCCACCTTTACATGTGCCCCCGATTCAAGTGTCCCCTTCGGCCTCACTGTTCTTATCTGCGGAGACCCGTAACAATCCTTTGGAGCTTCTGCACGCACGTACCCGGCAGCATAGAAATACCAGACTGCCCCCACCGAGGGCCCGTTGGCACCACAACCCTCCACTTATGGCAGCACCAGCACAATATTCTGGATTCCTACTTCATTTCCTGTAAGTGTAACTTCTTTAATAATCATTCGTTAATAACCAGAATGATGTAAATTATTACAATTGATAATACAGGGTGTTCCAATACTCCTTGTGTATGGAGCTACTTCCTATGATCAAAATAAGCAGGTTTAATTATCAAATAACTTGAAACACTTTATGACGTAGTAAACGAAGTAACAGAACTGTGAAAAATATAAAATTTTTATGCCTTCAACAGTCAAATTGATTGTCTATCGGAGACCGAATTAAATCATGGCTGATGCAATGTTCGAGATATTTAAAATAAGCATATTTTCACATTTCTGCATGTATTTTTTAAACGAAAGGACATATGAAAAAATTTGATTAATGAAAGTTTATCAGATAAACTCTGTATTTCCTAATATGAAATTAAATAAGTATGTTTCTGGGAAAAACATATTTCTTGACATCATAACAGGCATTTCCAATAAAACTTTCAAAATAATATTTTTGGTACAAAGGCAAGCCTAAGTGCTTCCATTTGAAGCCCCCAACTGAAATTTTTATTCGCGTTCTTTATTAGCTAATAGTAGCCTTGGGGTAATCGAGTTTGAGACACCCTGTACATATCATTTCTTTTCATTGCTCAACTGAGTGTCCCTTAATGAGGGAAGTGTTGAATTTCTACAGTCTAGGTGGTAATGTCTAAATGCCTTTTCGTCTTTTTTTAGTGCCATGTTCTCGAACCCACCAATGTCGCCCTTCAGCCAGACGGATCTCAGCAGTTCAGACACCACCGAGACGGAAAATTACGAGGCATTACTCAATCTGGCCGAGCAGCTGGGAGAAGCCAAGCCCCGTGGCCTGGGCAAGTTGGAAATCGAGCAGCTGGTTAGCTACAAGTATAACGCTGATACTCACGAGGGTGATCAGACCTCTTGCGTCGTTTGTATGTGCGACTTCGAGGCCAGACAGATCCTCAGAGTGTTGCCGTGCTCACACGAATTCCATGCTAAATGTATCGATAAGTGGCTCAGAGTAAGTACCTTTGTATATTCTTTTTTTTGCTGGCGTCCTAATTGTAAAATTTATTTATATATGCTGTAACTAAAATGCGTGGCCGAACTTTAATGGCATATCACACTTCACAAAGTTCTTATAAATGTGTTCAAAGATACTTTGTTTTCAATGTACAGGGTATTCAATCCGAATTCAGCCCCGATCCCAAAATACAAACAAAGGAAGTGTACTCAATTTTTTTTAAATCGAAATGTCAGTATATTTATGAAAAACGTCACATTCAGAAAGGTACATCAAACACTATTTCTCGTCGTAGTCACTTTCAACCTCAATGCACTTTGTGAGACGAGGGATGAACTTTCTGATACCTTTGTCAACAAAATCTCTCGCTGCCTCTCGGGCCCATTGTTTCACAACACTGAACCTCATCGTCGGTAGAAAACCTTTTTCTACCCATAAACACCTTCAGAGAACGGAAAAGATGAAAATCAGGTGCCAGGTCAGGGCTGTGAGGGGGATGGTTGATGATGTTCCAAGTTAATGAATCCAACAGTTGCTTTGTGGCATTGGCTGTATGGGGACGTGCAATGTCATTCAACTAGCATACTCCCTTCATTAACATCCCCCTCCTTTTGTTCTGTATCGCCCTCCGTAGTGGTTTCAGTGTTTCCCCTGGAGTAAAAGATCAATGAGGAGAATCCCTTTACTGCCCAAAACACAGTTGCCATGATTTTTCGGTCCGAAACAATGGTTTTGAATTTTCTCGTTGATGGTGAAGACGGACGTTGTCACTGCATTGCTTGTCTTTTTCTCTCATGGGTATAGTGGGCCACTCATGTTTCGTCGCCAGTCACAATACAATCAAGGAATTGTTTACCTTCCAGTTTGAAGCGATCGTGCAATTCCTGTGAAGATGCGATTCTGTTGGCTTTGCGTTAATCTGTGAGTTGTTTTGGTACCCACCTCACACACAATATTTGATAATCAATCTATAATGATTTCATGCAGAAGAGATCTGGAGGTTTGTGGAAACACTGCATTCATTTCGTTGAAAATCAATGGTTGCCACGAAGCATTTCTTCGATCTTCTCCACCATGACGTCTTTTACAGAGGTTTGACAGGAAAAACCTTTACATGAGTTTTGAAATTAGCTCACTCCGTACATGTATTTATGGAAAATTAAATCTACATATCAAAATTTGACGAAAATTGTTTCAGCAATTTTCTTGTATTTAAAAAAAGTTTTTTTTTAAGCTTTAGCAAACATTTTTAGCAATTTATTTAATTAATTTTTAATCCCAAACCACCATTAAGGTTTGGCTTATCATTTTAGTTACAGCCTGTGTATTTTTGTGGAAATAGTACCTGAATTAGCCAAATTTATTAATATACAGAATGAACCAATCTTTTTCTCTTGTCGCAATTTTATTTTTAATTAATAATGAATATGTCGCTTTTAGTCTTAAAGCAATTATATCAATTATGCGAATTATTAAAAAAAAAGTTGCTAACATTACAATATAACTTGCAATTGGTTTGACAGATTCCACAACATTGCTTTGTCCTGGCTTGGCTTGATTAGGTACTGCGACTGTAGGAATCTGATTTCTCTTTCCTATAATTTTTAATTTAAAGTCAGTTTTTCTATTGTTGGTTTATCTTGATTAAAAAAAATTAAACATATTGCTACAATGGAATACCTATATTTGTTTCCAAAATTGAAAGGATCCCGCACAAACTTTGTGGGAAATGGCTCCCGGTTAAATTGGCTGAATTTTTTATATGTTACGTACCTCGGCGTCCTGAACAAATGTCTTCATGGACGAAAAGCCCAAAACTCCACGAGTTCCAAGATAAACCCACCTAACCCCTAGCAAACCACAAGCAGGCTAAGCTACGTAACCCTGGGATTTCCTTGAAATAATTAAATTCCATACCGCAAGCGAGCTAACCCGCCTACCCTCTAACCCACCTAATCTCTAGAAACCACTCCTGCCAAACCACAAGTAGGCTAACGTGTGCATAATCCCATGACAGTATCCCCCCTTGTTTTGGGCAAGGGAGAGCAGGTGGGTTAGCCTGTTTGTGGTTTGGTAGGGGTGGTTTCTAGGTGTTAGGTGGGATAGGGAGTGTGGAATTTATTTCAAGAAAAATAAGCGACTAAACTCGCTGTTCCCAGGGTTATGTGAGTTAGCCTGATTGTGGTTTGGCAGGGGTGGTTTCTAGGGATTAGGTGGGTTAGGGGATAGGCGGGTTAGCTCGCTTGTGGTGCGGAATTTATCTATTTGAAGAAAAATAAGCGACTAAACACTCTGTTCCCAGGGTTACGTGGGTTAGCCTGCTTGTGGTTTGGTAGGGGGTGGTTTCTAGGGTTTAAGTGGGTTTATCTCGGAACCTGTGGAGTTTTGGTCTTTGCGCCCATGAAGACATTTATTCAGGACGCCGAGATACGTAACATATAAAAAATTCTGCCAATTTAACTGGGAGCCATTTTCCATAAGGTTTGTGCGGGGTCTTTTGTGAAAAAGATCAATTGTAACACACACAATAAGTGTCTTGAGCTGTTTTTTTAATATCGCACTGATAAAATATAAAACTTTCTTGTTTGTGTACTAGGACTGTGAATTAATTTTGAGGGATTTTTTTGTAAATTCAAGAATCTATTGGGAAAAATTGTGTATACTATTATTTTTCAAAGTATCGTCTATGGCTAGCCACTACTTTTTCCCATCTTTCTGGTAGCCTAGGGATTCCGTATCGAAAGAACAACTCATCTTTTGATTCTATCCACCCATCGATCCAATTTTTCATATCTTTGTAAGATTGGAAGCACTACTTAGCCAAGCCGTGTTCCATGGATCGTATCAAGTAGTAATACGATGATTTGGCTCAGCTTTTCTAAGTATTTTTTGACTTCATGAGCAACATGTGGTCGAGTGTTGTTATGTTGCTTCAATGCATGGCTCAAACGCTTCAATTGTGTTCTGGACCATTCACCAGTTAAGGTTTTAATCGGTTGAAGCAACTCATAGTACACAACACCAAGCTGGTCCTACCAAATACAAAGCATAAGCTTTGAACCATGAATATTCGACCTTGCCATCGATGTTGATGCATGACCAGGCAAACCTCACGATTTTCTAGGATTATCATAGCATATCCATTTTTCATGACAATATGATGCAAAAAACCCTTTCTTTGTTTTGCCCTTGGCTTCAATTCCTATGGCAACCAATTTCCTTGCCTTTGATTCATACTAGTGCATTTAAACGTTTGGAAACTGTTGTATGATTGACATTCAGCAAATTCATCTTGCATATAACATGAATTTTGGGCTTCCAATTACAAACTTTTTCAGTTGACCAGGGCATTCTTCGTTACCTGTATTGAAATCACCACAACTAAAATGTTGAAATATTCACACGTTTTTATCGATGGTGTATGTTCACTATAAGTTACTTGCAAATGGTATTTTGTAGGCTTGACGTCAAAAATTGTGGCAGAAGTGTCCGATGCGATGTAGCATAAGTTACACCATCTATTGTACATCTCTCAAAATGAATTCATAGTTCTTATAACTATTAATTATATGTTTTATTTTTTCTTCCAATGGAGAAACTTAAAAAACAAATTCAACTTAAAGTAAATTTTATCAATTAGGCCATTGCTTCATAATTTTTTGTTACAGAAAATAACCCCAGTTTTTTTAATTTCAGTCAAATAGAACCTGTCCAATTTGTCGTGGCAACGCTTCAGACTACTTCAACAATAGCGATTAAAGCTCTTTCTTTCCCTTCGCTAATATGTTTTTGAATATTTACCCACCCCGTTAATGTAAAAAAAAATAATTTTCTGTTGGGTGCCATTAGTTGCCAGTAATAGATTTAAATGTCACAAAATAAATGTATTACGTCATCTCTTTCTAACTTTATTTGTACAGTAGTTCTGGGCTATGACTCGAGCAAAGTGGGTTGAAAATTTTTTCGCAAGAAAAAGCAGTCACATTAGTTTTGTAATCAGGGCTGTGGGCGCCTGTGTGAAAACTGGTAAAATGCACCCTCTATTAAAAAGTTGTAGATTAAAATTAAAAATACGAACACTTGCGCTATGGCTCTGTTTATACTGTAGGGAAATATGACTGCTTCACTATCTTTTACAAGGCAGTTTGTTAATCAATTACTTGTTTTTGCAACCAGTATGTGTTCACTGGATAATTATTTGAATAAACTGCACGCGCTTTATTTAAAGTAACGTAAATCGATGGTTATCGTGTCACATATCGGCCTTAAAGTGTATACCACATACATTTGACCCACTTCTGTGCGAGAGAGTTCATATATTCAGTATGCTAAAAAAGGGAAACATATTTTTTTGATAGCAAATTTCCATGTGTCAATGTTGTCGTTCACCTAACTCTTTCAGTGTTAACTACCTCCAATATTATAGAGTTGTCAAGTCTGCAATTAAAATTTTCTTTAGAAAGATTTGTCGTAATGTTTTTGTGCCAAGGTTACTTTTGTTCTGATAACGGTTGAATGATTTTCTTGAAAGTAATAAGTAGTATCAACTTGCATCATTACGTTTGAGATTGCTAAGCTTATGCACCTGTACATATTTTTGATAGTGATAAGGAAGGATTTTATTCCTTAGTTTAATAATTTGAATAGGGTATTGTGTTCAAAATTTTAAATCGTGTATTAAAGAATGCTGTTTAATATTAAGGAGGAATATTTGAGTAGACAGCGATAAAAATAGGTGAATTTTAGGAATTATTATCTGGAAACTACCTGTTCGATTAAATCCAGGTTTGTTTTATTCATATACATGTTGCGGTATGCTGACAAATTTCTTTATAAATTTATATTGACTGGGAGCGGTGCTGTCATAGCTGGCATAAAAAATGTTGCTCACTGATCTCAATCAAAAATTTCAAAATGTAATGCATGATGCCTATAACATCGTAGAATTAAAATATGTTTTTTTTCCAACAAAATGGCGGCCGATTGAACTTTACATTAATATCTGACCTTCCTGTATTGATAAAAAAAAATTATTAAGTGAAAAAAAAATCCTACTTTCCGATGTAGAACCTGTTCGAAAATATTGTGTCAAATACATACTTTAGGAACCGCTTTTTAATAATATGTTTCAAGATAATCGCGTTTGACGTTTGGCAAAGAATTGATGCGCTTTGGAACTTGGTCGCTTGTAAGCTTCTCGGTAAATCGCCCATAACTTTTAGAGTTCTTGGAATATCAAGACAACATTTACACACGATATTCTTCATATTCCAAACTTGGAAAAATCGATTTTTGTAAAAAATTCATAATAATTACATAATATACAGGGTGTTTCATTTCCGGTGTGCCAAAAAAACACAGATGATAGAGAAAGTAATTTTGAGCAAAAAGTTCATGTCGACATGTATCCGAAAACGCCCCCCTGTGGCGCTACGCCCTTTTATGGGGGGCAATTAAGAAACAATTATAGTAATAATAATAATAATAATAATAATAATAATAATAATATCTCTACCCCTCATGAGAATTAGCCCAGAAGTCTGAGACTTGTGCAGAATTTTATTACAATATCTCGAAAATGCTTCGAAATAAATTGATAAGATTTTATGCAGAGGTATAATTTATTACGAAGAATTACTTTATCTAAACCAAATTGATACATTGTTTTCAGGGACATCTCTACGGGGGGCAAGATAAGGTTCAAAATCCGTAACTTTTTTATTTGTCAAATTCGTACCTAATTCTATTTTTGAAAATCTAAATCCTTGACCATTTCTACATAAAAAAGATATACTTGTTTCATTACGATATCTGTAACGATTTTCCAGAAAAAGCCGATTTTATTTTCCCTACATGAAACAAGTATATCTTTTTTATGTAGAAATGATCAAGGATTTTGATTTTTGAGTAAAGAATTACTAGTTTGACAAATAAAATAAGTTATGAAACCATGGTTTTCCTCCCGTAGGGACGCCCCTGAAAACAATGTGTCAATTTGGTTTAGATAAAGTAATTCCTCATAATAAACGGTACCTCTGTATAAAATTTTTTATCAATTTATTTCAAAGCATTTTCAAGATATTGCAGTAAAATTTTGTCTTAATGACCCTCTTTACAGTGGCGCAGCAACTACAGGGGGGCATTTTCGGACACAATACATATCGATATGAACTTTTTTGCTCAAAATTACTTTCTATATCATCTGTATTCGTTTGGCATACCGGAAATGCAGCACCCTGTATATTATATTGAGAAAACTTTTATTTACTTACCATTAATCTGCGATTCCTGGACTATAGAGTAGGCCCTCCATAGTACTGGCTGTATCTACTGCAGCGATCCGTGACTGCCTTCTCTGAATCCTCTCTTCATGTGTCGATTTGTGAATTTTGACTTCGGCAGTACTCATGCATTCCCCATTGATCTCGCAATGCTGATCAGCATTTCTTTGCACAAAACGATGCACAAAATAAATGTTGCCTACTTTTCCACACTGTTGCAAGAAGGTCGCTCTAGCTAGACGAACCATTAGAATTCACAAGGGTCCTACCCCTCAATACCTGCTACTCTTAGACAAAAGAGCCGCTCGACCGCATCCCAGTAAATTTCCCATAACTTCCACAATTATTGGAATTTCAATATGAAATGTACACAAAATATTCCTAAGACTAGCGCAAAAAAAATTGAAAAAAAAACATTTTTTTCTACTCGGGTATTCCCCCTTAAAAGAACTAAGGAGGAAGAGATACTTTGAACTCATTGTATATTTATGTGAAAACTAGTCACTTTCTTTTCAGTTCTGCCTAATGAAGTTTAGATATAATCGCAATATCGCTTGTTCCTTTCCAATAAACGTGGTCCAATAATGTTAATTATTGGGTAATTTGGTACAAAAATTTGACACAATCTTAATGTTGAATATTATTTTGTTGATTTGATGGCTCCATGATTTTTATTTGTATGTGTGAGTGTATGCGTGTGTGTACCATGTACACTATGTTCCAGTATGTTAATTGTTTACATTTTTGTTATTAACATTAATTAGTAGCTTTTTTATTGTTAGTATTAAGTTTGTTTTATTGTTTTCCTGTTGCTTTGGGTGTTACTCGTAATTTCTAATGATTATTTTCACAACTCGTGCAAGCACAAATGATTTCCCTATTGTAGTTTTCCACGAAACTTTCTAAAAGATTTAAAACTCTTCAATGTACAACTGAAAGAGATATCTAACTGACGGAACAAAATAAATGCAATAATTCATAAAGTGCAATTATTAATTTTACAATTTTAGAGTTTTAAACGTTTTGGAAATATAATTTAAAAAATGCACCTTTGAAAGTTGTAGTATCTCTTGAAATATTGTATGAGCTTGTAAAGTTGTTGTTGGATTTCGAAGTCGCTTTTAATGTCATCTTCATGATAGAATTAGAAAAGATTAATAAATATATCACCAGTGTACAGAGAATACTTTAAATTGTATTATAATAGGAATGGGTGTTTTTGTGGATAGTGGCACTGTTGTTTTTAAAATTTTCAGTTAATATTTCGCTGTCTGCTTGTAACCTGCCAAAAAATTAATTTTTTCGATTGGAAAATAACTTAGTTGAAATGTTTTGTGCCACTGTTTATAGAAATACTATCTATGTAATAGGTGTGCCTTTATATTGTACAATTTGTCATCAGCTGTTTTTTTATTTGCACTTGTAATAAAATACAATTCACGTGGGTTACAAATGTGAGTTAATGGGTTCATTTTTTTTGTTAAATTTAATTTTAAATTTTAGTAATAAATGTTTAATTTTGCATCGAGTAATTTTTTCCAGTGTAACACACATTTGTAGCATTTCCAATCAAAGCTATTAATTCATTAAGAAATTTATCTATTAATAGCACCCTCGTCCGTTATTTAATGTAGTAATTCATACTTTTAAGTATATGGTTAACTCATATTTACAGTGCCATATAATGTCACTTATTTTTACACGTATATCCACTTGAAACAAACTATTTTTATTTCTTACAAAGTTACTAAAGTAGTAACAGTTGTTGCTTAATTTCAAAGAACTAAACCCTGCTTTCTTTGGATAAAATGTTGTGTCGTATTAATTATAGTAAATCTTAATTTTTATTCTAAGTTTTTTCTCACTTCAACTCCAAAAGCACCAAAATGTTTTATTTTTGTGAGTGGTGAGTTTCGTTTTATTTAAAAAATTATTTTTTAATTTAGAAGAGATTTGTTAAAAAATAATCAAATTTGTATAAGTGAATAAATGAAATTGTTGAATAGAATAGACAAAAAAAAATGTTTCTAATCAATAATTTTTTAGTATTAAAAATTAATGTAAGAACCCTATCTGCATTTCAGTTACAACGTAATATGAAAATCTGTTTAAACTGGTGTAAAACAGCAAATTATTGAGTCCAAAATGCCATACATATTTTATAACTTGCAGTATCAGTGTACTGTCGTAACATTTGTACAGGGTGTTTTCAAAGTCTATGTCATAACTTCAGTGAGCTGTTCCTTGTATCACTTTAAAAAAAGCCTGAATAAACTAAGCATGTTGAAGTTTAATAAAATATAAAATTTATTGCACTATCTTTGAAGAAACTCGGCCTAATAATTTACATATGTCAACCACTGGCAAAGATACCACCATCAGTGACGGCTCTGGAAAATTAAAGTGGTCATATTTTGATAATGAAGTATGCAATCCGTACCTTTTCTAGGGAATCATTTCTAGATCCACAAAAACATTTCAAATGAAATTTGCCAAATAATAAAATTTTGTTTTTTCATGTTCAAGTGATAGATACAATCAGGAGTTTTTTTACTTTTTCAAAATTTTTCTTCACTTTATAAATCTGTAATTTTAAGAAAAATTTATTTTATGAAAAATGAAATACCTGCTTGCATCTATCAGTTGACGATTAAAAAAAGTAAATATATAACTCTTGGAGATCAAAAGGTCGGACACTTCTATTTTAATTTATTATGCAGCAAATTTTTTTTGCCACGAAAGTTCTTTTTATGGACCTAGAAATCATTGTCTAAAAACGGTAAGGATCCCATGTTTCATTCATTATCAAAATATAGCTTAATTTTTACGAGCTATCACTATAATTCAGAATTCTTGTGCCACTGACTATTTTTAAAAATTGATAAATGCATTTAATTGAGAATTAAATTTTATTTTCCAAATTTCATCAGTTGTTTACTAAAGAAATATTTCACAAATATATGTGCAACCCTTTTTCCCTCTTCAGGATCAGGTAATTTCATTTTTTATTTTGCAAATACAGTAGAACCCCCATTATCCGTGATCTAGTGGACCGAGCGCAACACGGATAATTGAAAAACTCGATAATCAAAACATTTATTTTTTACGTAAAAAACGGAGCAATACATGGGTAAACATGCACAAAATCATTAGAATATTTGCAACTTCTACCGATTAGAAGCGTTGGCCACAACACATGATGTTATACGGTCTTTACTGAACAAAAACAAATTCCTAGACATAGCACGGATAATCCGCACCTTAGACAATTTGTACACGGATAACCAGGGTTCTACTGTATATTTAAAAAAATTTTCGACATGAAAGTTCTCTATGTGGGCCTAGAAATGTCTTTTAAAAATTTGGTTCATTAAAACTGAAGTTATACCACAGATTTAAAAAACGCCCTGCATTACTAAATTATCATCACATGTATCCTGGAAATCTATAGTTTAGATAATATCTTCAATAACATATACAGGGTGTTTCTTTCATATCACTAAATTTGTTGAGTTCGATACAGTTACGATGGTTCGTTAATAATCGCTATTTTAAGTCGGTCTTTACTTACTATGATCTGTTTAATGCGAGTATTCTGAAATTAAATAAAATACCCCTAAGATTGTAAACAGTTTAATATTATTTTGTCCGTGATAAAATAGTTTCTATTTGGTTAAATATTGTTAAACCTTAAATTGAGAGGGTGCAGTTGTTATTAAAGGACACATATCTCAGTCTAAAGTGCAATAGCATGTTTCATCTTCAACTTGAAAATAGCAATATTCAATATTATTAAACTAATTAAGGCATTCACTTTATTAGCAATTTCCTGCATAAGAAAACTTATAAATTGTATTTTTGTGAACGTGAATACCTAAGTGATACTTTGCTTTTAGTGGATTTTAATATTTATGTATCTACTATGTATTAATAGAAGCTTTCTAGCATTACAATATCTAGCTCTTACTTCAATAAAAATAATTAACAAAGTCTGTTTTATTTTTACCAAACTTATCGTAAACAAACATTGTAGATTATGAGTACTATGATAAATTGCAATAGAACATAATTATAAATATTCGTCACAAAATCTTCTGAATAAAAGAAAATATGATTTGATCTTCTGAAGCTTGATTCCTGAGTGTTTGTATGTACTATACACATAGATAAACTAAATTTACTCAATATTGCTTGGTTTTGAAAAATATAGGGTTCAATTTGGGGAACCTTAAATGTAAGCATTCT